AGTGTTCATACTTATTATACAGTATTTCCATAAAAGTTACATTCGAATGGTATTATACATTTTTAACACTAAACAATTGGCGGTAAATATTTTTTGACCGAAATCTACCTACATTCAAATTAGTAAAACCGTGTATAAATTATTTTTATCATGTTTAAATACCTACTTATTTTTTAGTTTTTATTACCAAAATTGTAATATGTTTTATGCATTTTTCAAAAGTAACAATTTTTACTGCATATTTCGATAATTTTTAGTGCAACAAGTCAAGTCCCGAACCCTACATTTATTTATATACAAAAACTGTAAAAACTTGGTTTTGATCAATACTTAAACACCCCCCCCCCCCATTTCATAATCATGTCTACGCCACTGACGTAACTAGAAAACATTTATCACAACTTAGATAAATGTAATACACTAATACCTACTAATTCATCAGTTGCACCTGTAAACCAATTAATATGGTACTATCATTTATCATTCAAATATAATGATAGATTTCGATCTGAAATGGGGGTTTTATCGACTCCACCATTTTAATATCAATTCCGCCGGCTATCGATTCCGCCGGATTTTTGTTTATATTGATTCCGCCAACTATCGATTCCCCCAGTTATTTATTTATGTTGATTCATCCGACTGTTTATTAGCCAAAGTATCATATTATACAGAATTGTTTTTAATTAACAGTATAGGTTAGGGTACACCATGTCATCTTCATGTCAAGATCAACATACATTTTTGAGGTGCACTTTTCATTGACACATTGCCATTTATTAGCGTCTAAGTAATAAGTATTTAACATACCTACGCTTTATTATAAAATTTAAATTTTTTATACAAGATTAATTGATTTTTCCTTTCACTATAAACAATTTTAAAATTAATTTTGAAACGGTGTAACACAAGACGCGCACAAGACGCGCACAAGACTACAACGGTCACTAAATGTCTATTATTTGAACACTGCAGAACATAGTGATCAATATTTAAAATCAAGAATTATGACCCATAAGACTTGTACTTACTTTTATTGTATGTAGCCATAGAGTTACCTACATGAAATAAAATATATTATTTTTCATAAACCTTTTATAGATTATATTGATTAAGATATGAAAACTGTTGTCCGTTGCGATAATACGCGATTTCCACTGGAATAAATATAGCTGTGTACCTATAGTATTATGCTATAGATACAGTTGAACAGTTTAAAGTTCAATTTATATGTCCATTGTTCGTGTATTATTCTACTTCAACTTATTTTGTTACGAGTTAAATACAAATTACAGTAAGTTATAGTGTGTTGTGTGTATCTACTAATGAAATAAAATATATTTTTACAGAAATGTAAACATAAGTCTTTTAAATGTTTTTATTACTGTATAAAGTAAAAAAGTTCGGGGCAATCGATAACCGGCGGAATCAATATGTAAAAAGTTCGACGGAGTTGATACGCAGCGCAATCGATAGATTTTTTACAGGTAAAAAGGTAATTTCGGCGCAATCGATATACGCTCCGGAAACAGTCAGATCATAATATACAGAATGTTAAAAATAAAGTGATTAGTTTAACTACTCTATTTTACAAAATTCGTTTTCTAAATAAAATAGTTATAAGACAAGTATTTAATATGGCATTATGTAAGTTAATTTTATTATATGGTATAACATGCTGGGGAGTGGGGGGGGGGGGCACAAATAGAACCGACATAAATACAGTACATAGTGTATAGTGGAACCTCGATATGTCGAAATTCAAGGGAAATGCAATTTTTTCGACTTATCAAGGTTTTCGACTTACTAAGGTTTTCGAGTTATCAAGGTTTTAGAAAAAAAATTCGACTTAAAGAGTTTTAAAAATGTATGTATGTACCTATTAAAGTTTTTAATTATTATGTGGTACTTAGGGCCGTTCTTACGACGTCCGGTTAAAGTTAACCGACACTTAACCGGAGGAATTCTGCCGGTAATAAAATCTGTTATCAGTCGGTTAGCGTTAACCGACACTTTACCGGACATTGTAAGAACGGCCCTTAGTATATATTATGTATATACAATGTAAAAAAATGTGATTATACAGATTATTTAAATAAAAAAATTATTACAAAAAAATATAATACTTTATAAAAGATAATTTATTATTTTACTTTGACTTAAAATTTGATATTTACTATTATCAATTGTATTTTCTATTATATTTAAAGCAGAGTACACTTTATCGTCCACATTACTCAATTGTTAGGTGAATGTCCTTAGCAATATGAGGGCTGCTGTTGCTTGCTTCATTGAAACAATGAAGATTAGATAAAATTATCGGAACGGACAAGCCGATTAGATAAATGTTTATAAAATTATCTGTCATTATCCGTCATATTCGGAGCACAGAATGTTCGAGTTATCTATAGTTTTTTTTTCGAGTAATCGAGGTTTTCGCAAGGGGATGGAATTTTTTTCGACTTATCAAGGTTTTCGACTTATCGAGGTTCCACTGTATTACCCAAAAAAATATAATAAAAGTAGCTTGCTCTCTTCCTTTGACGTACCCATCAGTCAAGTTATTTAGCCACACAAACATACCTACTATCTATCTATAAATTGTACATTAAACAAATTCTCGTAAGATCCATACAAAGGCACACACTCAATGATTTAGAAATAATAGACATGAGAACAGGAAATATATAAAACCACATATAGTTACCTAACCTAACCTAACCTAACCTTAACCAGTTCAAGAAGTTCTCCCGATTACATGGTAAAGTCGTAAAGACAATATTCAACAATTTGGGATTCGATGTAAAGAGTCTACAACGTTACCTATTACAAGTACAACGTTCACGTTTTTAAATACCACAAACATTCACAGAGGGAAACTGCCCTGTAAACCACTGAAACTTTAGATCATGGATGGCCAAACTGCGGCACGCGTGCCATTTGTGGCACATTTGTTGTTATGGAATGGCACACTAGAGTCAAATAAAATAATATATAATTTTTAAAAATAAGTATTATTAAATTAAATTATATTATCGCAGTGGAATTTTCCGATTATTATTCCAATAAGAGAATTGTTACGGTACGTGTGTACTGTGTACTAGATTACTACAATAAAGTTAGTCGTATTAGAATCGCCGTGCCCGTGCGTTAACAAGTAGTTTGTGTCGTTGTGTGTGTGTGATCGTGAAATGGCATCTAATAAACCAGGAACTTCAGGTTAAATTAACTTATTTATTAATCCATTTATCATAGAGACACACGATCTAAAAAAATATAACCCTAATATGTAATTGGAAATTATTGAACTTCAAAGTTCAACAGTTTTAAAATGCAAATATAAAGAGGCATCTGAGATAATAGAATTTTGGAAATGCCTACCCGAGGAAGATTTTCCAGAATTACATAATGTAGCGTTGAAATTGGTTTGCAGATTTGGCTCTACAGTCTAGATATATATGTGAGAAAAGTTTTTCGCGGATGACTTTCATTAAAAATAAGTTTAGAACCAAACTAACAAATTCTCATTTGAAAAATTTGATGCTTCTATCCTCAACTAAACTTAAACCAAATTATGAAGAGATAATATCCATGAAGCAAATTCAACATACCTAATCATTAAAAAAAAACATTGCAATTGAACTGTAATAAAAATAGTACCTATGAAAAAAATCTAAAATTTATATTTATGTAAACTTTGTAAACTGTAAAGAAATAAATATTTTTTAAGGCACATTCTCAAATTTGTATACATTATTTGGCACAATATAAAAAAAGGTTGGCCACCCCTGCTTTAGATGATCTAAGGTTCCACTCCCATCTAAGATCATTCATCATTAAACTTGTCTTCAATTGTATATAAATATATTAAGTATATGATCTAAGGGTGCCGGGTGCGGGGTGGAATTGTGGAAGTGGCGGATCTCATTAATATTTATTCGTATCGTGCATACGTGCACCATTAAAGGTACCTACCATAATATCTTAAAGTATATAATGATTAATGTGGTATCCGACGGTATCGTGTAATTATAAAAATCATTTTTTACAATTTTTTTAGTAGAATAATTTGAAATAAAATACAAAATCAGAGATTGATAAGGGCTGTAGGAAGTCTTCTTCTTTCAGATAAAAAAATAGTCATCAAAATCTGACAATTCTACAAAGTCTTAGAGTTATTCCCGTGAAGTTATTTTTTCGATATAATACACCCTATCACCCCCCCCCCCCAACCCCTAAATAGGTATTAGGTAGTAGATTACTGGAAAAGTATGATAATAGAGGTGTCAACTAAAATACAACATTTTATTTAATTTCGGAAAATTTTAAAAACTGGCATCGGGCCCTTAAAAAAAAATAATAACAAATAATTATAAAATTATTCCTAATTTTATTTACAGTTTTCCACGCCAAACTAACGTATATTAGAATATGTGAATAGTAGATTTTATCATTTTATTAACGTATCTTTCACACAAAACTAATTTATTATACAGAGTGGTTATATTGTATGTTTTATTTTAAATGTTCCAAATTGTATATTTTATTAGTTTTATGAACTTTTTTCCCCCGACGCTTTTTTCCCCAACACTTTTTTCCGTTCCCCATATTTTTGTTGAACAATATGAAATTTCCCTTTTCTAAATATCTTTTTCAAGTGATGCAACTGTAAACTATATCGCGTAATCATAATCGTTGGCATTATCAGTTTTCGGCATCGGCATTTTCCTGTTTCTATTTCCGATAGTCCGATTAGTAACTTATTTACGGTATTGCTACACTATCTTTATATCTTCCAAGTTCCAAGCGATCAATCTGCTTATTTTTGTTTTTATGTTTGATAATTTGGCTATAATTAAACGCAAAATACATAATAACATTGTCATTCATTTTTTAACGTAATTTGTAAATAGAACACTTTTTCTTTTTAAGTACCTGCACACTGTTCATCAAAAAGGATCTATTCGCATAAAAACACTGATCCTTGGTACAATGATGACATGTTAACCACCGACGAATTGTTATTACTAGCACTATTAGCTAAAAACCCTTCACTTGACAGTGGTGAATTGGCCGCGATTTTTCTGTTGTCAAGTCAAAATCATCTTCTATCTGAATGTAGTTCCTCATCGTCGTCATCACATCAGTCGATGGAACAACGTCCATACTTTGGCCAGCGGGACGGTCACATTAGAGATGCATTACTGGAAAAAGAGCTGGAATGGTTGGCCAAGGAAGACCGTGGTAAAAGATTACGGGTCGATAGACAAACATTTCACAAGTTGTTGGCAAAGTTGCACCCATACATGGCTAAAGTTAAAAATGGATTAAAAGTGAGTGCCGCCAGACGTTTAACGGCAACACTTAGATTTCTCGGTACCAGCTCTACGCTACAAGAAATTAAGGTTGACACACACATATCACCTCAAATGTTAGCAAAGATCATTGTAGAAACTTGTGACTGTATTATAGAAGCACTCAAAGACTACATTAAGGTATTTTTATTTATTTAATATTATATACTAAATATATGTATGAATCTAACAATATTTTCTTATTCAAAAGATTTTGGTATCATCCTGTGTCCAGAAACTTTTTTTTTACCTTACCAATGTTATTTAAACATTAGTTCTAGCCATCAATTTATTCACTATTCTTAATACTTTATTTACAAATCCTAGTAAGGTATTATTTAATCAAAAGAATAAAGACATATAGGTACCAGGCACGTAGCCAGACATTTTCTAGTCTGAGGGCCAATAATTGTTGGCCCTTTTACCATTTTCCATATTTTTCCCCAATGAAATACTTGTAGGCTACTTCTCCCTCACACTCGCCCTTAGGCTGTATGTCAATATGTCATACAAAGAATATTATCACATTATTACAAAAAAATTTATAGTACCTGATTAAAAAAAAAAATACAGAATTATGTACATCTTCACTTTCGGGATACATTTTTCATGCTATGAAAAATTAATTTACCTACACATTTAGAAAAAAGCTGATTAAATGTTTCAACTTCTAATAACATAAATTAATTATAATTTTGAAACAAACTTAAATTTATTGAAAAAAAATTCACATACAAGCAGAAAATAGTAATAGTATATTACCTATTATAAGTACTTACATAAATATCAAATAGTTCAATATAAAATAATTTTTCTATTTTTGTGATGCACTGAAAATAATTGTAAAAAAACATCTATATCTAACTTTTTAGAAATTTTTATTTTCTATACTTATTGAAGATAAATTATTTAAACAATCATTTGTCATTTGATTCCTCATTTAGTTTTTCGGTCGACAGACATGAAAAAGTTCTTTGCATGCTGCACTTGATACAGGAATAGCTTATATCAGGGCTCGTAAGTTCATGTCCTAAAAAATGCCTAAATAAGCATGCATTTATGCACTCAAAATTGGCAAAATATGCATTTATATGCACTTAACAAATGCTTACTTAAAAAAATCATAAACAATTTTTGAAATAACATGAATTATCCATTCATTTTTCTTATAGTTATATCTCGAGTTATATTTTATTTTTTTATGTTACAATTAAAAAATATAGATTTTAAATAGATTATAAACAATCACATTTTTTTTTCGTCAAATGTTGATTCATTCATAGTATTTCCATAAAAAAATGCATATTGATATAATAATATGAATAGGAATATCAAAATCATGCCCGATAAAATGGAAATATGCATAAATATTCCAAATAGGCAAAAAACCTCTAAATATGCAAAAACATGTAAAATAAGAACTTCACCGTGGTACCTTGAAATGGATTGTCATCTAGCATTAAATACAACTTAGCAAGATTAATTTGCAAATTCATGAACTTACGAGCCCGGAGCCCTGGTTAATATAATAATAGCTAGTTTATAAGTTTCATTGAATACTAACTTATACTCTTCAACTAGTTTAATTAAATTCATCAGGATGTTTACTTTAATATTAGGTTTAGCGAATTTGTTATTTTTTAATGGTTGATGGTAAATTTTGTAGGTCTGCCTTTAGACTTCTCAGATCAATATTATAATAAACAGCTAAAGGTTTCAAATAATATACTTATTTTTAATTTATATAAATCTAATATATATTTAACCATGTCTATCAAGACCCTATTATTTATTTTTTGCAGATAACGTTATTCACAAATATAAAAATTAATTTTTATAATAATAATTGCATTACCTAGTGGTAAATAGATTTAGTGAGCATAATCACATTTTTTATAATTGGTAAAAATAATCATTTTTTGATTTTTTTTTTTTGGGGGGGGGGGGTCCTGGGCCACAGTAAATTTAGGGGGGAGCGGCCCACCATTGATGGCTACATGCCTGATAGGTACTAACTTAAAATTAGTAATTATATCCATGCTATGTCCTCTGGCCGCCAAGTTGAAATCATATAAATGTTCTTTGAACCCTTTTGACACTGACAATTTAATTTAACCTAACATTCCATGAATTATGAGAAATTCAAAGCGCATTACTTGTTTGGTTGTCTGGTATTAGTTTTGAACTTGAATTAAAAATAATCAATCACCAGTCTGTTCCTTATGACCTCATATTATAGGTGATCCCTATAATATTAATTTAGTTTCAATTATATTTATTTTGTATTTAAATTAAATTCCTACTACTACTTCTTGAATAATTTAAAGATATTTTTTAATTATGAAGTTTGCCAGTGCACTTCCTAAAGTACTGTTAATCTGTGTTCACCTAACTCAGTTAAAATTTTTTTTTTTTTTTTATCATTGTTATTTCATAATTAATTAATGATTAACCCTCAATTTTTGTAAAATAATTAAGTACCTAACCATTTTCTATTAATTCATACTATTAATTTGCCTCAACGCTAGAGGTTTAGAGAATTATAAATTTGTGTACCTACTAACTTATTGAATCAAGAATTATTTATTCACTCTTGTTTAAAAACATTGTGTACTGCATGATTAATTAAATAAATATCTAACTAATTTAACATATAGGTACCTATTATTTTTTAAATTAACTCAAAAAAAAAAATAAAAAAAAAGTTAATTACAATAGACAATTAATCTATTTAAGTTATTATTAAAGTTCATAAGAAAATTAATTAACTAGTTAAGTTTAAAACCTGTAAAATTTAACTTTTTAATTATAATATATTTTATACAATTATACCCATCTGATAACTATGGTTAATAAACATTTATTTTAATAATGATATTAAAATTTTTTTTTTCCTGATTATTTTAAAAAGTACCGAAAAATTACTACTTTTGACCCACCAAAGTAGGTACAATCTAGTTGCCAGAAACCTCCATCAAAACATATATTTTAGATTCTAAAAGGAGCGATAAATTATTGATTTTACAAATCACGGGAAAAAAACCATGAAAATATAAACCAAATTTTTATATTCTGCCATTAAGCCATAATTTATTATATATTAGATATTAGTTTTAATTTTCTAATTAAAAATGTAGATTAAAATGATGTAATTATTCAAAATTTACAAATTTAGTCACATGAATATACAACAGACAGGAAACCTGGTCATTTGGATTATTGATCTAAATTTTTAATTATAAAATTCTGAAAATTAAAACTAACGTCTAGAGCAGTGATTTAAAAGCCTTTGAAAAATAAATGACTTAATAACTCTGAATTTCACCGAGTTTCTTCAGAAATCAAGATAAATTCGTGAATCGTTTTATTTAAAAACCAGATATAGAAATAGGAAACCTTATGTTGTTTTAGTAAAATATGTGTATTAATGTATTATTTATTTATTTTTTATTTTATTTTACTTCATACATACATACATGCATATGAGTACTGGGCCCCACGGATATAACTCATGAGGGGGCCCATTATATTTGTTATATTATATTATTATTATTATGTTAAAATTTAATTTTTTTTCATAGTAGTAATAGAAATACGTTAAAAATTACCTAAAAACATAAATAATGGACTAAAATTGTTTAAAAATTATCTTAGACCTCAAATAAAATACAAAAATTTGGTTTTTATTCTCATGGTTTTTTTTCCGTCTACCAATTTTACCATATTTTGTGCTAGTTTTAATTTTTTTTAATTATTTCTTGAAGACACATTTCCTAGTAGAAAAAATGCTTTAATCATATATATTTCGAGGGACGTTTCTACTTTTCTAGTTGCAAATTAGATCTAGTTTGTACTTTGATACCTACTATACAGCAGACTGATAATCAATTATGCTATAATTTTACACAGTGTTTTTCTTCATGAAAACAATGATTATATTTCAAATTACACATCAATAAATCCAATGAGTCTTATAATTTTGAATGAGGTCCATAGACATAGCGTGATAAATTTTTTTTTTTTTTGGGGGGGGGGGCTCTAGCCTCTAATGTTTCGGGTACACAAGCTTATATTTAACCCATCCTCATTACATACCCTGAGCTGATTTTAAATTCTGCATAGAAGTAATTTAACAGGAACCAATTGTAGTTTATCTTGTAGTTAAGTTCAGCTGAATAATAAATATACCTATTTTGTATTTTATTTTGTGATATAGTTTTTACTAAGTTTTATTAATTTGTTTAAATTGTTGCATATAGAGCTAAAACTGTATATTTTTAATATTAACAATTTTGTTGAAACCAACAAATTAATATGAATTATTTATTTTTAGTGTCCTCAAACAGAAGAAGAATGGATGCGAGTATCAACAACTTTTGAACGTACTACAAGGTTCCCGTCATGTTTAGGCGCTGCATGTGCACGCCATATTGAACTTCGCAAGGCATCTAAAGCAGATTCTGATTATCTTAATGAACGTCGTCGACCCAGTGTCTTATTAACAGCTGTAGTAGATTCCAATTATGAGTTCCTTATAGTAGACACGTGCCCAAGTGGGCATCTTTCTGAAGATAACCCACCAAATAGAATTTTAGAACGCAAATTGAAAACAACAAAGTTACCATGTCAGCTTAACTCTAATCAGTTACCTTATATATTCGTAGCTGATGAAAGTTTTAAGCTTCAGGAAAATTTTATGGTGCCCTACAGAGCAGTGAATGATAAAGGTGGTGAGGCTAATAAACTATTTAATAGACAATTAGTCAGGGCCAATCAAAGAGCTGCAAAAACTCTGGCCATTATGGCATGGAGGTTTGGTGTACTCCAGACACCTGTTAACTTAGAAGCAAAAAAAGTACAAACCATTGTTAAGGCTTGCTGTTATCTTCACAATTTCTTTAAGCGTGAAAGTGCTTATTATATAGACAGTAACATGGAAGCTGTTATCAAAGCAGATATGGCTCCAATTGTGTGGGGTCCAAATACGACGGTTATACCGCACATTAATAATTGTGATAGCGACCCACAATATGTAAGGGATAGCTTTTCAAAATATTTATATACACTATCTAAACACCAAACACGTGTCTGTAAATAATTCACATCCATCAAACCTTCCACTTGGTTTTTGTGGTTGATTTGTCTATTTAGTATTAAAATTATTACGATTTTATGTTATTATTAACATGAAAACATAGTACTGAATACTGATCATTTTATACTAGTCTATTTGAAACTATTTGTGTAATGTAGATATACTTGATACAATATTGATACTCGATGTATAATGTTAAAACCTCGTCTATATACAATAATTAATTAATTGGATAAAAAGAAATTAAGTTGGTTCAAAATTAAATTAATAAATGTGAAAAAAAAATATATATAAGAAAATAACTTTAAAACTGTTAATGGTATTGTTTGTTTAATTGACTTCTCGTGCACAATTATAAATACAATACTAGGCTTTAGTGACTGAAATTATTAACTGGTTATATATTGGGGGTCTTCCAAAATCCACTCTCGCCAATTTTTAAACTTTGTTGTACTGTTTTTACTAATAAACACTTAAAGTTATTTTTTTTTATTTTTTACCAAAAAATGTACCAATATTACTTACAGGGTGTAATGGTTTTTTCAGTATATTAAAATATGTTTATAAGAGTAATTTAAATTATTCATTTAATCTATTCAAATGTGATAAAAACAATTTAAAATCAAGTTAATTATCACATATTACACAATCTATCCCTGTATTTAATTTTAAATGTATAAATTCTGGAATTAATTAATGGTGGTTTGATGTTTAAATAAAACAATTTGCCTAAATGTATACTTATAGCATAATATATTTAGTTTATGCTCTGTGTTCTTTTTTACACATATTATAATTACATTATATTTTGAAGAGTCAGATAGTACCATCTGATATATTTTTTTTATCAATATTTTAATATTGAACACACCTTGATGTTTTTTTTCTTTTTAAAATGTAAATTACATGCTTGATAAGATAAATTAATAAAAACTGTTTCAAAAATGGCAAGTTTTAATTTTTAAATAATTTAAAATATCTGTTTACATTTAGTCCTCTTTGTTTAACACTTGAGTTGATTAATGTTTAACATGGTATTAATGATATTTAAATTATAAATATACCAACCGAGGTTATGAATATTTTAATTTATATCCAATCAAAATCAAATATTTTTTGGCCAATTTACAGATAATAAAAAATATTCTCTCTAGAGATTGTGCTGCAAAAGATTAATTTGTCTGTAGATTATGAACATTGGCTAATTATATTTTTTCAATATTTTTTTTGTTCAAAACTATATTTTTTTAATGTTGTGAGTTTATTATATTTGTGGGCCTTGTGATTTAACCTAATACAATTTTACTAAGACTATGTTCTGTGACAAAAATTATTAAATTATTTAGTTTTTATGTGTTAATGTAGTCATGCTTTTTATTAGATTAAAAATACATATGTATAATGTTTATAAATAATTATACTAATGTATTTACAATCAATTGTTTCTTGTAATTTAATAATTTATTTTTTTCATTATATTAAGAAATTATTTGTTTCTTCTCTTTTAAAATTGTCATTAAAATATTATATGCCTACTTTTGAAATTGGATTAATGTATATACTATTTATTTAGATTTTGTATTTGAATGTACTGCAAGAAATAAAGAGACTTTAAATATAATATTTTCTTATCACAATTTTTTGAGTTAACCGATTTATAATTCTGCATCAATGTCAATTCTATAAAATAATATATTTTTTTTTTTTTATCATTTTATGCGAAACTGAAATAAGTATGTTAATGACTACTGGGGAAATAACGTCAAAAAACAGGCTACAGGACCGGAAATTGAACCCAGGTCTTTCACTTGCCGGGTGATTGCTCTTTCAATGAGCACAGTCAGCACAATATTAAGATGCTATTTCCTATTGTTAACTGGTGTTTGCGAGTAGATACAAAATTCTGAATGTTTTAAATATTACAGTAATTTTTCATTCATTAAAAAACCATGCTGTTTAATTTGAACTCTTTATTAATAATACTGAGTAGTTAATTACTCGGGAACCTGGTTTTAGTATCTGATCATTCAAAGTACTGCTAAGAAAATTATAAAATAAATACGACCCAAAATTAATATTTTTCAGTTTCAGTTTTAATTGAATGATACATACATAATTTTATATGTACCAGGAACATAGCCTGAGTATAAGTATTCAAACACCATCTGAATACCCTGAGTATCCACATCCAATGGGCAACTTTTTTTGTATTTTTCGTTTACTCAAATAAAGTGATAGTATAGTATTTTTGTGTTGGAAGTTCATGCCTAACATTTCAATTTTTATTTAAAATTCTAATTATTATTTATTAGATTAAAAATTGTATCAATCTTTCTAATTTTAATTTGTAATTATTATATTTATTAAGCATAAATTAAAGTGTTAAAAATATAATATTATAGTTCTAATGTATAGAGATCTATCACATTATAATTGGACGGAATAGTGACACAAATGGTAAGTTTAAAAATAATTATATAATTCATTTGTCTCCTTCAGTAAACAAAAATGGCTTTGGATCTTCAACAATCTGTAGATAATCAACCTTTACTGGATTTGAGCACATTGGACAGTTTTCACCTGACTCCAATAATCTAAATAAAAATAAAAATATATCAATGAAATTCAATATGATTTAAAATGTAAAAAGTAGTTTTACAACTATCATAATAATTAATTTACCCAGCAAATTCATTATATAATGCAGGAAATCGACAATTTGGACAGAATGTAAGATTATCTTTGGTAATGTGCCATCCCTAAAACAAAACAATGAATGAAAATCTTTTGTTATTTACCCCTTTTTAAACATTTTCACTTACGGATGCTATACAAAAAGGTATAGTGCTTTTGCAATTTGTGCAAATGAGACTGGTCAAGAGTAAGTCAAGACCACAATATGGACATGGTTCTGTTTTTGTTATGGTTTCGTCTGATAGAGAACCAGCCCTTGGAGACTTTCTAATTACACTCTCAATTTTTTTCCGATACTTTTCATCAATCTTTAATAAACATTAATGTTTTAAAATGTTGTTCTCAGATATAATACTAACAAAAACCAAAATCACCTGATGTCTGTAATCAGATTTCATTAGAATAGTTGCAAATTTAAATGCACTTTCCTTCAAGTTGGATCGGTAACATTCAATCACGGTCGAGGTTAAAATTTGTACAGCATCTACAAACATAGAATAAATAATCTTTATTGAATCATATTTCCATAATAAGGAGCTCTGGTGAATCATTGTTAACCTATACCAATTATTGCTATTACTTAAATAGATAAGCAGTTGCAATTTTTGGTATGCTTTATTCCCATCAACATAAGATATTTCCCATAATTCAGTCTAATAATATAATAATGATTAAAAGACTTACGTGAAGGAAATCGATCAATATTCTCTGAAACTCTTATCAATAATGGAGCTGCTTTGCTATGGTTGTCTAAACGGACATACACTCTCACAAGAATATATGAATGGAGTAATGCTAAATTAGCAATCATCTCGTTGCTCACTTTTAATTGATTGTTACGTAATTCACAAATTGTATTGTATAAGACATCGTGGGCTTGCCTATAATTACCTGTAACATTTTATTTACTCATTGTTTAATTTCAAAATCTAGAAAATTAAATTTTTAAATTAAAATTTTGTAACAAAAAAACAGATTTCAATACTATTTATAAGTATTGAAAAAAAAAAAATGAAAATCCTTGGTATTTGAAAAAAATATTTACCTTTAATTTGTTCATTATTGGCTAATATAATAGCTACTTTTGCGGCCTCTTTATATCGACTTCTAGCCATGTGGAGTCTGAATAAGAATTTTGGATTCTAAAATATATAATATAATATTAATGAACCATTATTTAGATTTATTTATGAAAATAAAAGATATTGCTTGAGAAAAAATACAGTTAACAAAATTCTTATACTATGACAAATGTAAAATATGTTTATAGTTCATACCCTTGCATGATCATCAATTTCACCTAACAATAATTTTATAAGTTCATCATCAATAGAATTATTTTTTGCTGCAGCGACAACTTCAATAGCTAAAGACAAGATGTCATCATTGGTTGGATTAGCTTTACTACCCTCAATTAGATTTTTAAGAGCCTGAAAATAAATCAAAATTGTTGTATTCATTTTTATTTTTTATGTCAATTATTACATTATAAATATACTTTTTGATAATTCTTGGCATGAAAATAATATTTTCCTGCTAGAGCTGCGCTGTTTTGAGTTTCATAATACTTAGCTAGGCTGGCAAACTCAGGAATGGACACTTCCTCATCTTCATCCAATAACACGTCACCATATAATTCTAAATGATTATGATCACACGCTAATCTAAAAGCGTCTGTAAAACAATGTGACATTGTTAAAAATCGAATTGCTAGTAAAATTTCATTGTTCTTTTGAAAATATCTGAAAAAAATAATATTTTATTTATTCAATGAATTATAATGATGTAAAAGATTATTATTACAGAACTTTTAAAATAATAATAGTTCACCTAGGTACATCTAATTTATTTTACCTTGCGATCATTTTCGAACCTTCAGTACTACGATGTTCTTGAACTACTGTAATAGCATGTTGTGGATCATCCAGCTTATCTAAATCCATTCTGATGACATTTTCATAGTCATGAGCTGCACTATAACCATATAATGCTTGCTTATAATTTCCCATTGCTTCCATAGCCTATTTTATTAATACTGTAGATTTAAATATGAAAAACAATATAAAGTTTAAAATTTTACCTTGGCATATTGAGCATGAATTTTGGTTGAAGTAATGTAAGTAGCGTATTCACCTACTTTAGTCCAATTTTTTAAGCGAATATAACAAGAAGCTGCTTGGTCCCAACTTTCAATCCTTTCATATAAATTAGCGGCTTCGCTTAATTTCTGTATAAAATTTAATTGTATAAAGTTAAGAAAATAATCATATAGCAATCTTATACTTTAGTATTTTCTAGCAGCTCAGCACATTCATTCAATAATTTCTTTGATCCAATTTCCAAAGCTAAATTTATACCCATTTTAGCGTTACCATCTTTGATCAAACACCTAGCTATTCCTTCACGGCAATATCTCAGATGATCAGTATCAGTATCCAAGTTAAGACCTTGTTCATATTGTAACACAGCTTCATGAGCTTTACCACTGAAAAGTTATAATTAGTAAAAAAAAAGTTTAGTAAAATACAATCGGTACAAACATTAGTTCAAGCTGTTGACCATATTTAAAAGAAATGTAAGGCATTCGTTCAGGAGCCAGTGTTTTGGCAAGATCTAAAGAAACATCCCATTGCAATAAATCTTGTCTCATTACTAATGCTTGAATTGGGTTTGATGATTCCAAAAACAATTTCTAAAATCAATTATCTCATAATAATTCATATTAAAAATTATTTGCATTGATATACTACTTGAGCTTTATCAAATTCTTTCATATACATAGCCAAATGACCAGCGAACAAATTTTTATCTTCTATATATTTTATTAGTTCTAATGACCAGACCATTGAAACATCACCGAGATTAGTGTATACTTGGAGAGCTTAAAATATAATAATAAAGTGCATTGAATAATTATTAACATTTAAAAAAAAAAAAAAATAATAATTTAAAACTTACCAGTTTCAATATCAAAATAGTGTAGACAACTCATACCCAATTTTTCCCAATATTCTTTTTTATTTAATAACTGACAAGTCTTCCAAGCATCACTAATCCTAATAAGAGCTAATTGCTTGTCTAAATCTTGTTCTAATCTTTCGGTTGGATGACTAAGTGTGGTAGCTGCTGGTCGCATTAATAACGCTGTATGTGTAGACAATATTATAGTATTTAATTTTCCAGTAGAAGTCTCTAATGTTAAATCGCCATGCGATAAAAATAGTGGTATTTGACGTTCAGGCAATTTTGTGATGCCAACATAACGGATTTCACTACCTAAGCATACATCAATTATTAATAAACAATAAGATAAAATTATAAATGTAGTGCCAAGTTGTACCATTTATTGACTCGCGTATATATACAAATGTCAACGCTGATTTATCATTACATGCTATTAGTATATGTTTCTCGGATGGCCAAAGATCCCACAATACAGAACTAACTGAAGTTGGAAAATCTTTTATAGGTATTATCTCCTCTGAAACCTAAAAACAAACAATATCATTAAGAGTATTAATGTAGCATTAATCTATATATTTTAAATAAAATTAACATACAGGCATATATAAATATGCTTCATTTTTTGCATCGACTATTACACATCTTATACCTTCTGGATTGGGATAAAGATTAACAATACCGAAATGATGTTTATAAGTGAAAGCTTCATTCCAGTCTTCAAGGTGAAAATAGTGAATATTACCTGCCTGTAAAAATATTTACATCAGTCATTATCTAAGAATATTAATTAAAATTATTACTATTTTATATTATCTTCAAGTTTGGAATACAAACAATTAAAAAGTTAAACAGTATATTATATTGTCCATTGGTATTATAATTATATAATCTTTGAAATGTCTCTAATGTGACAGAAATTTAATTTACATGGCATATATTTTAATTTAAAATATTTAATACTTATTCATACATTATTATTAATAATCATGGATAGGTATAGTATTTTATTCAAGGAATAATTTATTACATTCTTACCTCAGTACTGTAGATGAGAAAATCATTAGTTAAATACTGATTGTTTATATTTCTTCCTTTATCTATCGGAAATATTTTTGATACACTATCATTGACAGCCTTTAAAATAATAGAATCAATCTAAATTAAACAATGATCAAATTACTTATATATTATATTATAATAGACATACACACACTATTTATACGGTATATAATGTATTGATCAGCAATGTAAGTAAGAAAAAAAATATAGAAAATACTAAATAGTATTATAATATTCTCTCTCTAAGGATTGAGGTTTAATTTTATAAATCATATTGTTTATTATAAGAAGATATAAGTTGTAACAGTCAGTAATATTATAGTACATATAAGTGTTTTTCTTTCAAACTAACATCAATAAAGTAACACATTTAATTTATTAAATTATGTTTTAATAAATAGTTGTATAATATGTAATGATTCCATACACTTACTGTATGAATTTGAAGTCTCCCTTCAAATAAAACTGATATAAATTCATCATTTATGCAAACATTTTGTACAGTGCCTAAATATTCACGATCACCGAGTAAAGCCGTTGATAATTTTATTGGATCAGAGATATTAATTTTATAATACCAAATCCTGTTGTTCAAACCAACAGCTAAATGATGAGGACCAATACTCAAAAAGCTTGGTTCCATTTCTGTAGTTATGGAGACCAAATCTGGTGGTTGATTCTAAATTATAAAATAATTATTAATAAGTATATTATAATAAGTAAATTTTATTGATATTAAGAGAACTGACTTTGTCTGAATGGCAATAATGTATAGTAACTTGGTTTAAAGATGTTAAAAATGCCACACAGTTGTTGTATGATGATGATAACATAGGTAAGGCTTCTAAATACAGATAAACACCACCATCTGATGTAGTAGCGGCCAAAAGCCGCCCATCTTCACTCCATGAAACATGACTAAGAACAATGCCTTCGTCAACATTTAGTACTGCTGTAGTTTCTTGTAATTTACCAATCTCGTGTACTTTAATTCTAAAATTGTAATATTATATTGAAGTTATTACTTAATACCTATAAACAAAAATAGTTAACTTAAAATAAATCAAATTACTTACGTATATTCACCACATGTGGCTACCTTTCCGGCAATTTTAGACAACCCAACATCAGATAAAATTTCTTTGTGGTTTCGTATTTGAAACAGTTCTTTGCCTACTTCTTTAGGGTGGGTTGATATAGATATTAAGTAACCTTCGCTAAAACCAATTAAAATATAGCCATCTCCATACCAGTGATAAGTAACTATAGACCCATATTTTAAGTTGAATGCCAGTTCAAATGGATTATCTGTGTCTTGTAAATCAATAAGATATAAAGTTTTGTTAGCAACTAAGACACTTACCTACACAGAAAAAAAAATATTTAAAAATCACTTCATAAAAGATTAAAATAAAAATTTAACATACTGTTTCTTCAGAATGCTTTCTATGATCAGACTTCATTTTTGAAAATGCTATTTTAGATGGTTCACCTCTGAGTGATATAATTTTTAACGTATCACCTTCTATATTGTTTATGGATACTGTTTGATCCTGTGATCCTAAAGCTAGTATGTTGTCTCGGTTCCATTCACCACATGTAATGCTCATGCTATGTTTTCCTAGTATAGGCGAACGTCTAAAATGGATTCAAATAAGTATACAACTAATGAAAAATTAAATAAACTAAAAATGATATTCTAACTTAGTAGTTGTATAGTCATAGATAGTTAGATTTCCTTTAGTTGAAGTTACTGCAACAGTTTGACTGACTTTTGACCATAATACACATGTCAGGTTGTCTTTGAAAACTGGATTTATTTGTTGAGTCTTAGAAGAATTAGCTTCCCACAACATAAAACTAGATGATCCATCACATATTATTCCTAATAAATCACCATCACGATCCCACGCTAAACCAGTACATATTCTGAAATAAAAAAATATATTTAATAATTCTAAATGATTCTATTCATATAATCTGGAAGTATATTCACAAATGGTACATTAAATAATAAACATTATACATTGATAGATTAAGTGATACCTACCCTGAAATTTTGATTTTTTCAATTAGTTTTCCATTGCGATTGTAAATTCCGATACACTGGTCTAAACTTGTTACAGCCAGGTAAGTACCGCTCCCTTTTTGCCATGCTAAATGTGTTTCACCAGTTCCACAATGATTTTCAAGTTTCAACAGTTTCTGTGGATTAGGATTAGGCAAGTACATCAATTATTCATACATAACATACTGAACTTTTATATATTTCAATTTGAAGTAAAAATATATTGATAGTTATAAGTAATTACCTTCATTAGGGAAATAAATTAGGGTTCCTTATTCTGATTACTGGCAGAACGGCATTGATGTATTGTAAACTGTCTGTTTTACAAACAACTATATATAATTTTAGACCGTCAAGTTAAGTTTTTTTTAAATTATTATTTGATATTTTCAATTTCAACGCTTATCACTGTGTTATCACACGACGGTTAATGTTTCGGTACGCAATTTATTTGTTTCCTGGGCAACTAGTCGTGTCTCTCCGGGCCTCCGGCCACCACACTATCACCATCTATCACCGTCCATGACACCATCACAGAACCATTGAACGATGACGTATCGCCACAGTATCACCCACAGTATTCCCACGGTTATTTAGGTCATAGACCTACGTTTTTTAAAATAAATACTACATAGGTTGATAAATAATAGGTACATGCTAATAACTAATACTAAAGTCTAATAATATAGGTAAGTACTAAGTAGTAAGTACCTAATAGTAATAAGTATTTGTACCTATAAACATAGGCGTGCGCAGACCTCTGAGTCGGGTACGGCTAAATTCAATCTGATCACCCACCCCCTTGTCATGGTCACACACTCACACAAGAAAAAAATTATAGACATTTTCACTACACTCTACAAACTTTTAAGTGACTCTTTTGTTGGTTACTGGAAAATGTAAACAATCATTTTTCATTATTTGATATTTCACACACACAAAATGCATCAATATTTAATTAAATTCTAACCAAATATAATCTAATAAAACAATTTATTCAAAAACGTTCAAAGTATATTATATAATATTAAAATTTGTCAATTAACATTAATAGTAGGTATTTATTTATTATTATTAATATTATTCATGGTAAATCGACTTTAGGGCTATTAGTATATAAGATATAAATATTAAAATTTAGATGAGCGGAGTAGTGGACATACATTTTGCAGGATAACCCAGTAGGTACCACTTAATTTTAAATACTTATAAGTTATAACGCATAGACTACTCGCGTCTCACACTAAATTCGATTTTTATGTATCGAAATACTTGGTAAAATATTCTACTTTGGAATATGAAATTTAAACTCTATGTCGTCAAAAATAAAATAAAAAAATTAGAAGGATAATTTTTTAATAGCAAAATTGTTTTGTAAGCGACTCGAAACTATGTAAAAAATATTTTCAAAAACAATTACACTTTTTGAAATAATGAGTGTTCAATTTTAAATAAATCGCCCCAGCCGTATAGTCTCTCGGGTAAACACAAACGTTAACGAAACTATAAAAGGGCTATACCTACGTTTCGTCATGTCTTCATAAGGCACCAACCCACTCACGTATAGAAAAATCTCAGGTAGGGCTAAAGCCCAATCAGCCCTACCAGTGCGCACGCCAATGCCTATAAACTATTAACTATTAATATTTTTCCTATGCACTCTCGCACTGCCCGCCGTCCCAGGCCTAATTCTATGATTTATCTGTGGGCGCTTTGTCAGTAAAATGTGACTGACAATAAAGTTAATAAATATGAACAAACCATTAGGCATTAATGGACATAATATAATCAAAATATAATGTTGTCCCGGTACCTAGTCGAGTTCTATACAATATACCTACTATATATACCTACTATACCGTGTGTCCCAAAAATCAGGGGCCACTTTACTACTCATTACCATGTAAATATTTTTCAATTCTGTTTGAGGGACATTAAACTAGACTAATGGATCGTACATTTCTTTGACTCACAATGTTTTTACCTCATGTATCTTGCGCATGCGCAATAAAACTTACATTTTTTAAATGGCAACCCGTAATTTTAATATCATATTCGGGTTCATCGATTTTTTTCAAGCCATTTTGATGTATCAACCAGTGCCGTAAAAATCATAGGTGCAGGCGGTGCACAGCACTGAGGCCCGTAGGGTCAAAGGGCCCTTGAGGCCTTGGTCGGATAGATGTAAATTTTTTTTTTTAATTTAATTCATAATAATTGTATTATTATCTTGTATTTAATTTCATAAAAGGCAATGTATAAACTAATAGCCTGGTCCGTTACTTGCAATTGTTAATCAAAATATTGGGAAATTTACTAAGCCAAAAGTAACATAAATAGATTTATAATATTTATTGTGAATAATGATTTATCAACAGCTTTTTGTGATGTTCTAACAGCTTGTAAAATTTTTTTGACGATTCCTGTAACTGTGGCTTCAGCTGAAAGATCTTTTTCCAAACTTAAATTGATAAAACATTACTTGAGAAATTCTACTTTCCAAGAAAGATTAAGTAATATATCAGTATTAAGTATTGAAAGAGATACTATCAACTTATGTCCTAAACCCAAAATTGACTAAACTAGAGCTAAGTAGAATTTAAATAATTTAAAAATTCAATTTAATTAATTTTTTTTTCTAACTGTACGTACTTATTTTTTTCTTCTAAGCACGGTGAAACAAACAATCAAAATTATTATTATTAAACTAATTAACTATTTACTATTTATGAATTATTATCTTATTTTATTATTACACATTATGAAATTGCATATGGTCTCAATAGTCAATTGGCCGAAACCAAAAAAGAAGAAGAAGTGTAATTTTGTTTCCTTCAGAATTATAATTAAGCATCTATTAAAATAATAATGAGCACTGGTGTTTCTAGTTTTGTTATCTACCTATATAGGTACCTATTAAAATGTCATTAGCTATTTTTATTTTAGAAAATATTATTAACATGAAGTTGGCATACCTAAAACTTTAGTTCATAAGATTTAAAAAAAAAATAAACTACACCCTTACAAACCAGACTTAGTCCAACATTTCTGCATAACAGACGGTGCATCCGAATTGCATGCCAAAAAAATAAATATAAATCGGGTCGTCCAAATTGCATGCCGTCTCTTGGAGGGGTGTGTCCGAATTGCATGCCGTCTCTTAGAGGGGTATATCCGAATACATAACTTACTTTTCAACTGGAGGATCGGGATTTTGTTACATTACAATAAAACATATAAATATTGTAGAAGGTGACACTGTGAATAAGAATCATAAAAATATAAAACTTTTTTTTTTTCATCGACAACAATTGTTAAAGGCCATTAGTTAAATAAAACTATTGTAGTTTAGAGTAATCAAGTGAGTGTATTTTAAATAATATTATTTTTAAATTTGGTGGTTTTTTTATACAAAATAATATATATTAATAATTCATAATAATAAAATATTATTAATCTGTTGTGAAACAGACCGAGACCACAAGTGACACTACATTCCTCCATCCTCCAATATAGATACTGTTTGGGAAAATATTTACACGGATATAAAAATATTTCAATCCAGAAACTAATCACTAAACAGTTGTAACAACCATACATAAAAGAGCATTTCTATACATGCATTTTTTAAAAAAAATTAGGAAAGTCCAAAAAAAAGTTGCTTAAGTGCATAGTAAATAAACGTGTGGTATACAATGAAAACTTACAACAAGGTTCCACGTAAGTAGGTTCTTCTGTAACCAAAAAATCTCAAAAATATAAATCACGGTTTTTTTTTTTATAGTTATTTTCTATTAAAAATTGTAGAAAATTACACATTAAATAACCAAGAATAACGGTTTTAGTTATATTTTTGTAATTTTATAATATTAATTCAACTTACCGTATTATAATAATAACTAATAAGTAATAACAATATAAAGATATTATAAAATATCCAGACTGACAAACCGTCTCCGCTCGGAATCGTTTTTCTTATACAATTGTATTATATCATTGAATTCAAGTTTAATATACTCCATTATACATTGACCCACTTGTAACCTACTGTACGGCAGAGCGACATCCACTTACCCACTTTTTATTTTATTGTTATTTTATTTTTTAACATTCAAGTTGATTTTGTTTTATTTTCTATTGTTATATTATTAAAAAATTAATAAATAATAATGGTAAAAGCTATGTACTTGCCTACTTATTGAATTGCAATAACTACGTTATTTAAGAAAATATAATTTGAACGTATTATTAATTAGAAGTACTAAACGTATTAGGGATTAATGAATGTTTTTCGAGCGGAGCCAAAAAAAAAAATTTTAGGTTACATACATATTTTATTAGTGCGTATACCCATAAATATATTTACAAATACACCACTGTCTATACTCTGTTCAACAAGAGAACGCACAGGTCTTCCAAATGTAGATACTGACGACCACAGACTAAGATATAATGGACAGGCATTGAAAAGGCTGAGGGTGTTGGCATCTCATAGGTTTTTTGTTATATTTTAATTTCAAAGCGAGTGATGAATATTTTGTGACGTATCCAAACAATTTAAAATTTAAAAATACTCATAACTCGCTTTAAAATAAAAATATAATAAAAAGCCTATGGGACGCCTTTATCTTACCTTTAAATTGTATAAGAGGTCAATTCACTTTAATTTTTTAAGCTAACTGATCTAAACTTGATCTGCTGAGCGTAAAATTTACCATGTTACTCACTTGTAAGGCAGCAAATGTCCGCGTAGCGTCCTCTTAAGAGGATGTCACACCCGCAAGTGTTGTCTCCGTCTTCCAAATGTACAACATAGCAAAAACTGTTTTGCTCTGGACAACTTTTCTCGCACCATATTTGTTGCAGAACTACCAAATTTTCACAACACGTAAATAAGAACTTTATCTGTGCAACAGCTTGCTCTTTTTTTTAATAGCACTATCCAATCATTTTTATAAGCAAATGAAAAAAACAAAAAAAAAAACAAAATGTTTAGAAGCAAATAATGTTATTGTATTTGTGTTATCTAAAACATGAGCACTCTGTTGCATAGATAATTTTCCACCCTATATGTTCAGAAATTTTGAAGCCAGTACTACAAACACAGAAAGATAAAAGTTGTCCCTCGCAAAATAGCTTTTGCTGTGTTGTACATTTGTAAGATGGAGACAACACATCCTCGTAAGTTAATTTCTAAGTTATTTTCAAGAAGCATTCAATTTGAATAAAAACAGTAGCCAGTAGGGTTAGGTTAGTTTCATTTTTAGACATTTTAATTTCAGTCATAGTATTATCATTTATCATCTTTAGTCTAATATAAGTAAGGACAATATTGAACACTGAAGTATTGTACCTAGTTTGCCTATACAATGCGCCGGCCAACACATTATAATAATATGTTTGTGTAAGTATATTTTTTTAAGCAATATTTTTTACTTAACGTAACAACTGTGTTATTTACGGTCACCCACATTCCCCGCAAAATCGTTTTAGATTTTGAGCAGAGTGGAGTATATAATATTGATTTTGCAATGATGTGTGTTTTTTTAAATTAAAAATGTTTTGTTATGTCCGTCATCGCCTTTTGGGGCAGTAAAAATGCTTTGATTTTCAACTTTAGTATTTTGTTCGATGGGAAAGTCAATCTAGTTGGTACTTTGGGGGGTCCAAAGTTCCCAGTAGTTTTCAAAAGAGACCGTTGATAGATATATTATATTTTAAGTTTACTCCCTTCGAGGATGGAGTGGGAATCTACGAGCTACCCCCCCCTCCTCTTTAATATTTAACATTTGAGATTCTAACTGGAGCGAAAGAAAGTATTAAGTCAAATTATTGTAAATTTGTCAAAATTCAAACTTTAAATGCTTATAAAAAAAGTCGTGACTACTTATATATTTTTAATATTTTTAGACTGTCATTGTAACAATATATTGGGAGCCTTGTATTACATTTTCAAGCTTTTAGATCCAACAAATTATTTGGAAACCGCAAATGTCCGTAAACACCTAAAAACAAGTAACAATATTTTCAAATGTTATAGGTATGGTGTAAACTGTAAAAAAAATGCTAGTATAAACATTCAGTGAAAATTATATATCTTCGGTCACTCTATGCATGCCTCAAGAGTCAAGGTTCATCGTGAGCGTTGTGTCTCGTGGGCTATGGCAATGTACATAGTCGCAACTAGACCTCTAAAACGTGGGGTGCTATAATATTTCATATTTTAAAAACATGAAATGTGTGCAGGTATTTCAATATAATAATGATAGTTAGACCTAAAAAAACAAGATGGTGCTAAATTAAAAATTGGTGGTGCTAAAGACCCTTTTGCAGCCTCTTATTTGTGCCAATGGCAATGTGGCTGGCACGACATTGACAAAGGCTTATGAACACATCATTGGCACATTGCAATATTCTCTTTTCACCTATCGGACGCAACCAGTAACCACGATTGTAGTCTTGTAGAATTGAATTAATATTTCCGACTGTAATGTTGTTCTCTGGTAATCACTAATCACAGATATTTTAGAATGGATAGGCCATGGTTTAATGGTTATATTAATAAAATAGAGGGAAGTGTGCCGGAATGGGGAAGAGAGAAAGACTGTTTTTTATATATAGTGTTACTCTATGGTTTTTTTTATCATTGCCTCTCATATTCTAGCAGAGCTCTTTTTATAAATTATTTACAATAATTATATATATATATATTTATTTGTGTTAAAACCTCTGAAACTTCAAAATATTTTCATGTTCGTTCCCGTATGATAAGCACAAATCCCTAACCGTAGGTACTGTTGGTTACAGCTGTCAAAAATAATAACTAATAATAATAAAAATATATAAAATTTGAATGATATCAATTAATATCTGATATCGAACCAGCCGTTCTCGAGTTTTACCTAGATTAGCAAAAAGCAATTCATTTTTATGAATCGAGGTAAAAAAGTCCGAAGTAAAAAAGTCCTAGGAAAAAGTTGGGGTAAAAAAGTCCGATTTACATCTCGAAATTAGTTCATAAAACAATTGAATATACTAGGTAGGTAGGTACTTGAAACATAATAGTTTTGTCACATCGATATTATCGTCATCTTCTTTTTAAAAGTAACAAAACAAAAAACCTGTCACAAAAATAAAAATAATTGTGTTGTAGACTGTAATGGTATATTTAATATTATATTTGTCCCTCACATCAACCTTAAGTTTTTCTACTTTTCTTACGTAAGATCTACTGTATCGAAAACAAAGAGATTTAAATATATAACAACTTTTTTTTTATTATCAAAATAAATTACAAAACTAAACAGGCAAATGTACGGAAACTTACAGTGTACCTAAACTTAGTGCGTGCCGTACCAAGTTGCCATGTACCACATGCCGGATGCTGCCAACGTGTGATGAATGCCGGACAAAAAAACCTCCAACAGTATTGGTATTACAAATCGAAATTAACCTACCACGTTAGACGCACTGTCCTATTGTGGTAGGTTAATTTTGACACTTTCAGCCAATACAGGCGGATGTTTTTTTGTCCGGCATTCGTCACACGGAGGCAGCGTCCGGCAAGTGGTACATGGCAACTTGGTACGGCACGTGGTAGATGGTGGTAAGGTCTGGCAAGTGGTACATGTCGGTATGGTCCGGCACGTAGTACATGGGGGTATGGACGGACACGTGGTACATGGTGGTAAGGTCTGGCAAGTGGTACATGTCGGTATGGTCCGGCACGTAGTACATGGGGGTGTGGACGCACACGTGGTACATGGTGGCAAGGTCCGGCGAGTGATGCAAGGCGGCTGCGTAGTCCGACAAGTCGTGCATGGCGGTGGCGTCCGGCGGGTCGGCCACGGAGCCACGGAGGTATAGTGCATCTGGGTGAAAATTGCGTTGGGCAGTCCGTCGACGCCGATGGACGGTTACCGGTTACCTTCGGGTAGCCGATGTGTGGAGGACGGTATCCGTTTACCTGCGAACCGACGACGTGCGGATGAGGATATTCGGACACGTCATGTGAACAGTCGCAGATCGGTGGTGGCGGTGACGACTTAACTTTTTGATCGGCGGCCATATTATACTCCGGTCCTCTCAGCTGTAGTTGCCATACTGTTTTGGACTTCTTCCGCGGATCCGGGGGAACGCGACTCATAACCAAGAGCCCGCCAATTGACTCCGACAAGATGCAGAAACATAGACATAATGTTATTGTAACCGAATACATCTTCACTCAAAAGTTTGACTTAAGTCGAAACGAACAGATCGGATGGTAGGAAAACAATGTGTAATAATATTTACTATGTTTACTTGGAAGCACGTTGACAACCGTTGCCGACGTAAATGTTAAGCCATATTTTATTTTTGTCTATATAGTACAGCCATTATTAGGGGCATGGAGAGCCCGGGTTTTTCGGCTTGCGCCTTACCGCACCTCGTCCGTGCCTTAGCACTATGCGCTACTTACGGGCGGGGGTGGAACTAGAAAGGCGGGAGCTACCTCCCACCAGACTAGGGTCTTCTAGAGTTTTTTGTACGTGGCTCTATGGAAGACCAGCACCGGGCATGAGCCCGTACCTATCTTGAAGACTGGGATGACTCAGTTAAGTGCCACCTGGGTACCGTCTTCCCACAAGGTCCTGTGGTTTTGGGTTCTACTATCTAACGCCTGTCCCACAACCACCACGTTTCAGCCGAGGTAGGCTCCTCAACCTCGAGGGGCAAAGCAGCCAGAGCGGGCGAGCCGCTCCAGCATGCAATGGGGCTCCCCTCTCCCGTGGCACCGACTAGGTTTTTAGTTGACGTCGGTTGGTCAACCCGGTCTATGACCTCCCACTATTTTGGCTCCCCAGCCGGCTAGTGGTGGGCCTTTTTTAGTGGAGATTCGGACGGACGCCTGAGCGCCCACCCTGGGTCCCCACCAACCCGCCCGTCGCCTTAACGGGACCTACCTAACCAGGAACTAAGCCTAACCTGTCCGAAGATCTTTTGGCCTCGATGGCCTCCCTAGCAAAGCGACGTAGGGCACAGTAGTTCGACCTCGTGTCCATAAACACCTTGGTCTCACACGGCCAGACGTCCTCGCCAATTTGCCTGATGACCCTATCTCTCTCAGCAGAGAGCAAAGGGCATCTGTAGAGCACATGGTCCACCGACTCGTCCTCGGTCTCACACCTGCACATGGCCTCTCCCCGTAGGTTGAAGGACTCCAACTTGGAGTTAAAGTCCCCGTGCCCCGTTAGGAATTGGCACACGTAGTGATCCACCTCGAGTGGGCATTATTAGGGGCAATAATATTGTTATAGAATTAAATCGTTTAAAAAATACAAAACCTAAAAATACTATACACTAAACCCGACTTTTTGAGGGAGAAAATGAACAATATCACACGCAATACGGTGCTCCACGATGTATTTCGTATTGAATGTACCTCAGTTCACATGTGATTCTAGGTGTCGCTGTGCCTAGCTTTGTGCACAGATCCAAACGAGATGACCTAATGTATTAATATGTAATATAGGTACAAGGTACTACAGTTATCAATTTTATAATTAAAAGAATAACTTAATAACATTCTCTAGGGTCTAGACGAGGGTCTCCAAAGCGGCAACGGCCCGAACAACTTTACCGGCCCCAAGGACGCAATAATATATCAAAGTATTTAGTTAGATGTAATTATACCTTTGATTTTATTTAGTAAAGAACAAATCCATACAAGAAAGTAAACATTTATTATATATAGGTACCTTATACATAGTTTAAAATTAATTTTATAACCGATAAAGCATTTGATTTTTGTGCCTGAATAAAAGTTGAGCCCTGTCAATCTAAAAGTTACACCGCACCCGCAATTATTTCATAGTGAGAGTAGCCAGAGTAGTGGTACATTGTGAATTGAAACCTCATTACAGTTAATAAGCCATTCCAAACTGCTTTTATATACGTCACGCTGGAGTGAATTGACTTCTATAACAAATTTAACGTTTATATTATAAGGTTTTATTAATTATTTTTATTGTAAAGAGAGTTCATGAGTTCTTTATATGATGTACAATTATATAATATAAGTATTTGCTTTAGGGATTTTTGGATTTGTTCCGATTACTCAAATGGCCCATCTATTCTTTAGTAATATCTATGATGGTAATACCCGTGGATATGAGTATTGAGTAAATATGACTATAAAAAAAATAATGAGTTTAATGAATGATTAATGACTGTGAATTGTGATATGACTGATATGACTATAATGTGAGTCATGAAGACTAGAATATTATTCTATAGTCTTCATGATTTGAGTATATGACCGTTGACTTATGTGTTTCAAAAATGTGTTCACAGATGGCACGTCGACTCCGTTCTTGTTCCTATGATTATAAAATATCATAAACATAATAGATAAATATTATTTTTATTTTTGTGTAAAAGTAAATAATTAAATTATATAATCTGTTAAGGGGGCTGCATCGCATGTATTTTTCATACGTTTTAGACCAATAAGCGGTGGTAAATTACACATACTTCAGAATGTCCGATTTAGATTTTTTATGCATACGTTGGAATTCATTGACAAAATATCTAGACTTCTTAGGAAGTCGATTTTCAATTTTCAATTTAAAATTACCTTATGATAACCATTTTTTTTTTTTAGAAATCCCACGAAATAATTGCATTACATTTGCATTTATTTTGGATACATCTGATTTTAAATTTAAAAAAAGTGATTCCTAAGAAGCATAGTCTAGAAGTTCATAAATTCAACCATTTTTTCGAAATTACAATCGAACTTCGGGAAGTATATGATTAATTTACTACCGCTTTTAGTAGTTTTATAGTCATACATGCAAACAAGAATATATTTCATTTTTCGCGATTTATTGATATGCTCGCGAGCGTGTGAGAGCTGCTCCCGACGTGGTTGCCCGACTCGACGTGCAGCAATTCTCTGAACGATGACGGATTTATGTCACATGAATTGCCTAAATAGTACTCCTTAAAATAAGCTAAGTTGCAGCCCATAACTCTATAGTTATTTTATCCCTATATATATATCTTTGTTCACAGCAAGTCCGAGCACGATTTATGTATCGTCGTTGTACTCAAATTTGTTTATTAAGATTAACATGCTTATGAAATATACACTTATTCGCATATATAAATGCGTAAACGTACAAGCTATACAATCTAAACAGGGTCATGTTTCAAAATAATACATATATTTTTCAAAAAAACTTGAATAATCCTTATACTACGTCAACACTAGCGCTCGCAGCGCAGCCTGTGGCCGTTTAATCGTGCGACTCATTTCAAGACGTTACCAGAAGTGGAGTTTGGTCTCCTCCATAGTATATCATGGTATAAGGTCTATGGTCTCCTCATTCTAGTCTTTATGATCTTATCTAATGACGATTGCGATAGCAGATTAGTGATTCACTGATTATTTAATAGTTATCACTGGCGAAACATATGTCTCAACTTAGTGACTGTAATACTGTATATTCTTGTTCCGTCTTGCAGATCGTGCCTTACACTCTGAAGCAACAATTCAATATAATTGGACGCTTTGACGCTTTGTCTATATGTGGTCATTTTTAAGCATGCTGTGTGTTTGAAAACGTTTTGCAATCAAAATTAATATCTATCAAGGCACGTCATGAGTGATTGATAATCGGTTTTTGGGTAAAAAAAATTGAAATTTTTGAAATTTACAAAACGCAATTGACTTCTTCTGTAAATTACTTTAGAAAAATGTAAATAGTGTAAAAATATAATAATAACAATCAATTAGTACTTATATGGTCATCATTTAGTGTAACTGAAGTCCTGCCATCAATTCATGTTAACTGAAAACACAAGGCCGTCATCAACTTCGCACAAGGTTTGTGGCATTTCAAACACATTTTAATTTTTGTGGTCATAAATGTATTATTTTTCAATTGTTATTCAACAGTAATCATCATGGCTAATTGGTTGGATTTGGACGATCTAATCCCATATGACAACCAAGTTGGAGGTCATAAATTTACTAAAGAAAAACCAATGTTGGGTTTGTATAATGTTAAGGAATAACTGTTTGTAAAACTAACATACAGCAAGCTGTATATTTGCTTTTCTATATAGGTTTATTGAAACATAAAGAAGGTTACTTATTGAAATCAGTAGAGGGTGGTACCAAAGGAAAGAATGAAGTACGCTTTTATGATGAATTATTAATTAATGAAACCCTAATAAATCTCAGGGCACTAGTTCCATTGTATTATGGTTGTGTCAATGTTAAAATAAATTCGAAAGGTTTGTAGATACATTTGAACTTTTATGTTTTATATTTATTTCCTTGGTTCATAAATTGTATTTATTTATTGTATAGATATGACGTTCATTGTATTGGATGATATTACTACAGGCATGAAAAAACCGTGTGTGATGGATGTAAAGATTGGTTCACAGACATGGGAACCAGGATGCTCAGAAAAGAAAAAATATGATGAAAATGTAAATTCACAAAGTTTTATTAAATTAATGAAATTAGTACTTAAAGCAAAAATAATTTTAAAAATATTTTAAAATTATAATGTAGTTAACACCATATTATACTAAACATTAATAAGTATCAACTTGTATCAGTCACATTTTAAGTTAGTTCTAAAGGCATGTTGTTTACAATTTTAACAACGTAGAATTATTATCTTTTGTTTCTAATACACTGTTTTCACCCTTTCAATTATGCACATGATAAAACCATAAAAAGTAATTTAGATAAATTAGATATTTATATTATAATATTAAGTTGTACAATTCAATTTTTTTTAGGAAAGTGATTATTTTTTTGGTACCTGCATAGGGCCTTATTGCCTCATACAGGTTATCTGGAATTTGACAGTCTTCCCTGGCCTCTGTGAATATTGTACAGTGGATAATTATGTTTTATCGTGATGTTTTCGTTGCATAAGTCCAACTGTTTAATAATTGTAAGCTAATAACATTGTAGTTGTTGCTTAAACAATAAAAAATAACTTGTTCCTAAATAATTGTAGAAATATAACTATAGAAATCTAATTTAATATTGCATTGAGGAGACCGGTAACAATAATCATATATATATCACCCTATTACTTATATTAAATATAATAATAATTTGTATAATATTTTTACCAGATATTTTTAAAATGCAGATTACTTAATATAGCAGTGAATAGTCATGTTAAGTGAATTGACATATTAACTAACTTTTAATAATATAAAGAAGCTTTTAACTAAAGATTATATTGGATAAACAGTTTTTAAATGCTATTATTAATAATTTTATATATAATTAAAGTTTTGAAGAATGAACTATTAAGATTTATTTTACTATTAAGAGGTTGTCACACATGCATATGTTGTCTCCGTCTAACAAATGTACAACATAGCCAAAAATGTTTTGCGCGGGATACTCCCTCTATATTTATAGCAGAATTTCCAAAATTCCACAATACATTGGGAAGAACTTTATCTGTATCTAGCTTTATTATTTGGATAACAAATACATTTAAAATTACCAGTTTGAGAACATAAGGTTTTTTTTCAATTAATTATTAAACATAATTGGCTATCCAAAAGTTTAAAACACTACAACATTTTGGTAATTCTACAATAAATACAAAGGGAGTAAAATTGTCCCAAGCAAAACAGATTTTTATATGTTTAACATTTATCAGACGGAGCAACACATGCGTGTGTGACGTCCTCTTCATAATTAATGTTATTTATTAATATTAATTGAATGTAATAAAAATAAAAAATATACAACTGTTATATTGTTTGGGATCAATAATTCTGGATTTCTTAGTTGAAGTTACAATGAAGTCTGAAATTATGAGTCATAAATAAATCATATTTTTATATTCATACAATTTGTGTCTTAAACAGAACATATTTTATAAAAGTAATTTTCTAAAAAAATGTGACTTATCACCTTTCATTTATAAACGATTAAAATATTAGTATCCTTTGTGTATTTACTCTATATCAAAAAAAAAAACGTTTAATAATTATGTGTCATTCAAATAATAAAAATTATTAGCAATAGAATGATATATAGACAAATTTATATTATGCTCAGTATGGCCAATGCTGTTTAACCCTGGTAGCCATACAGGAAAACACCTCGACCTACTTTGTATAAAAATTAATTCAAATGAAAAATAAGATCGTCACAAAACTTACAGTGAACTGTTAAACGATTAATTGAATCACAATTTATATACTGAAACCGGTTTCTTTAGTAATACATATGTTTATTTAAATTTAAAATAACTAATATATATACTTAATAATACAACAATGCAATATATTATTATATTACACAATCATATAGCTTTATTTCAATGAAGGTCACTTTTATTTATGTAACCACACTATTATTTATGTTTAAAAAAAATTTTTTTAGGCGAAATATACAGAATGTAAAAAACAGTGGAGTTTTTGTATACCAGGTTTTCAAGTGTACGATTTATTAAATTCCAATTTGGTACGGCCACAGAAATATGATAAAGAATTTGGCAAAAGTTTAGATCCAGGAAAAGTTATCTCTGGTATCATCTTTATAACTAGTTTAACTAATAATAATTTTATATTCTACTAAATAAAATGTAATATTTCAGTGTTCGAGACATTTTTAAACCTTAACAGTGGATATCTAGGTGTAGAAAAACTTGTTCAAGGCTTTACAGCCCAATTGGATCACATAAGACGATACTTCCAAACTCAAAAACATTACCATTTTTATTCTAGTTCGGTTCTGTTAGCTTATGATGCAGAAACATTATCAAATGACAAAAACACTTATCCTTTGTTAAGAGTATCACTAATAGATTTTGCACATGTAACTCCAGCTGATGGTAAAATTGATTTAAACTATTTACAAGGTATTACTAATTTATGGACGTTGTTCCGAACACAATTGTTACACGACAATTAATATGAATCTCTTCAATTATTGTTGGTGCCCAATACTTATTAAATTAATATTTTTTTAGTTTTAATGTTTAGCTTAACTTATCGTATTTTGTTCATTATTCTTATTATTTATTAATTTTGTCTATAACCAAAATTATAAATAGATTATATTTTATTTAACATCTAAAACCAATACATAATCATACAATAGTAATTTTACATTATTTTCTAATACTGTATTTATTTAAGATAAAATATGTCTATTATTAAATCGATAGAGTTTATATACAATTTGTGTACCTTGATCTATATATATATATTTTAATTCTGAAATGTTTAATTCAATTAATTTTTATGAAATTTGATTTCATTATAAAATTAATTTGATGGAAGTTCTGTCAACAACTGGTTGATATTGTTGTGTGTTATTATGAATTAATATACAATTAATTTAATTTTAAATCTGTGATCTTATAGCCAATTTTAAACATTCAAAATTAATAATAAAGGTAATATCATTGATATACATTTATATGTATATATTCTATCAATGGTAATAAATATAATAAAAAGTTAAAACCTAAACTTTTGTTGTAAATATTACATTGTATAAACAATTTTAACATTTTATTTTGTTATTCATAATTATATTTTAAATAATTATTATGTGTTCAAGATTTATTTTTACTTGTTTTACTTTGAAATTATATTATTTAAACTGTTTAATAATAAAGGTTTAAATATATGATATGAAAACGAAGTTGTATTTTGTTAATTTAGCTATACCTAGAGGATAATTAATATTTATAATATTTTAGATACTTGTATCTTGAATAAATTTGTATCTTTTGACATTTTAATTGTATTTTTTATTTAACAAAGAAAAATTAAGAGAACGTCAACGCTAAAGTCAAATGAATACAAATCTCAATTGATAGCTCCGTACTTCTAAACTTATATACGTCTTATCACTATACTTGTATCTAGATACTTATTTTCAAATATGTAACACAACCCTGTTTTTAAGTATAAAAGTCTTAAGGGGGGGTTCACACGGCACTGTGTAGTGTGAAGCCCCCTTAAGCCCATATTGTACATATTATGAGTATATAGAACCATTGAAATGTCCTTAATCAATTGACCTTGACTCTAGTTCCATGACTGACTGTTAATTGAGGTTCAACTTAGTGCCGGATTAACCGCCAGTACATTGCACTGGGGCCCCTGCTCTTTAATATTTGGGGGCCCTGATATTATGAATATATTGAGTACTATAAAAGATGAAAAATTAAAAACAATAAAACTATTACCTAAGCTTTTTGGTAATTGTATTATAAATAGTGATTTACCAAGTAGTTTTCCAGACGTTTTAAGTGATTGTGGCAGGATCAGAACGATCATTTTCTAAACTTAAACTTATAAAGAATTATTTAAAAAACATATGTGGACAAGAACATTTATCTATTATATTAATTTTGAATATAGAAAAGGAACGAACTGAAACTCAAAATATCAAGAAGATAATTGACAATTTTGCAAATTGCAAAATCGAGGAAAATTTTTTCTTAAAATATTATACCTTAACATTTTACTTTTCACTATTATAGTGGAGGCTGGCTTTATTCTATAAATAATAATATATTATTAATTTTGTACTTATTTTATACTATCTTTGTACTTCATTTTTTTTGTAACTGTATGACAACCCGCACAAAAAAGTTCACAGCCCCCTAAAAATGTCCTAAATGTTGTTTTAAGCTTATTAAATATTATTTAAGTAGGGCTTTAGCCCCCTCCCTAAATCACAAACACTATTTGTGCCTATGAGTCAGTACCATTATTCAGAAAAAAATATAAAAATACATTTTTTATAACATTAATATAATATTGTACTATAAGAAATTGAAATATGTACATTGTGTCGATTTAGTTATCTTTGCCTCTCGCAATGTAAAATAAAAATTATACTTTTAAAAAGAAGTCAACATCTGTTTTCTCTCTCTGGCCCACGCGCAATATAGACTAAACTCATTGACGCAAAATAATTATTCTTATGTTTTTGAGTTATCTTAGAAATAACCTATAATAAAATTATAAATAATAATATTTTTTAGGAAATGTTGTACCAATTTGTCTAAATATTGTATTAAAACATTATTTTTTATAAATAAAGTCTTATATATAGTCAGATAATAATAAAATTTAAGACCAATATGTCAAAATCTCAAAAATATTATCCTTTATAAATTTAGTATAAGGTGATTTTGTTTAAGATAACTCAAAAATCGATTTTATGTGAATGCGTTTGATCAATGTTGTGCACGAGTCTGAAAGATAAAACGTTATATTTAACTTTAGTTCTAAATGATTAAGATCTAAGAAATAAAACTAAAAATGAAGCATTCTAGAATATTTTACATGTTAAAATGTACTATGAAAGAAGAGTATGTTAAAAGAATGTTAAAAAGATAACAATGTTAACTGAGGTAAAATATTTTTAGTAATTAAGTATTTGGCAACATATTGAATAATAAAAATCTCAAAGTACTTGTGAGTTAATAAGTAATATTAAAAACAAAGTTTTTTGATAATAGATGCCAAAATTTCAATTTTAGTAGGTATAATTTCAAAGTAACATAATATAATATTATTCATTTATTTTGGAAAGAAAAACAAATAAAAATATAATATTATAAAATTAATTTTTATTGAAATATTCCCACAGAGTATGAATATATATTGATATAATCCATACACCATGACTGACTCATAGGTGTTTAATGGTTATAAAATAATGTATTAATGTATTTTATAGCAATACAAAATAAAACGGTAATCAAATGTTTTCCACATAAATATTATATAGACGTAGCTAGTTCTAATACATATTAATGACAATAAATTATATTAAATTCTGAATGAAGTATATATATTTTTTAATATTTGTATTTATAGTTTACTCATATAGTCATATTAGTTTTGTACTTCAGAAATATTAAAAAAAATTCAAATAAATTATATAATATAAAATAATGTAGATATCACATTAAAAATAGCAGACAAATTTTTAGAGTATCAAAAACCATATTTTATTATATAAATTCACAAAATATTTTATTCATGATCATACATTTTTAAAAAGGTAATATCAATAATAAACTACCTTTACAAAAAAATTCCAAAACCTAACATACATTATTATGAAAAATTGTGAAAGAGAAATTTGCTATTTTTAACAACTACACAATAATATACTGTTTGTTGTTTCTTCCCTAACAAAAAAATTAACATTCATTAAAACTTAAGTATTAAATTTGTTTGCACTATTTTAAATTCATATTTTACCAATTAAAAAATTATTACAATTGAAAAACGCTTAAAAAAAGGAAAAATATATATTTATAAATATAACTTACATTATAAATTAAATGTTGTTGGGATTAATTATTATTCATAGATTGTACATATATTATTCAACTTTTATTTAGTGACACTTCTTATTATTGAAGGATCAATCCAATCTGTAATATAGATTATATAATTTAAATGTGTGCAATTAAATAGTTAAATATCAAATTATTACCTTGTTACTATGAATTTCAGGGCATTTCCAATTGTATAAATAGTATTGTAAGTTTCCATCTCCAACTCCGAATTTAAGTGGTTCTAAAAATTCCTTATTGTCCATTAGGTCCAAAGCGTTGAACACATCAAAATTAGCCTAAATAGAGCAAATTGCATTAATATAATAATAATATTATTATTATTAATAGTGTAACTTACATCTCTAGCTGAAATAAGAGCGTCTTGCATAAGTTCAATCCACGGTGTTTTAGTAGACACATTATAAAAAGAGTATGCTGCCTTTAATGTACGATAAGTCGGGTGATGCATGATAGTTGAAGGAAGAGTATAAAAACTAACTAAATCTGTAAAAATAAAAAATGTATAATTTAATATAGAAAAATAGATATAAATCATTTTATTAGCTCTGGCAAGAATACATAAAAATTAGAATAGTTAGTACAGACTATAAAATAGAAGAAATTTATACAAAATGGAAAATCAAACAGTATTCTAATCTATCTTTAACCAAAAATCCCACATTATTTAATATTAAGTTAAAAACAATGTTATGGTGACATCACAGTAAATCTCCTATGTTTTATATATATATTGTAAGTAATCAATAATCATTAATCAATTATAAAAAATAAAATTGAAAGGAAGACTTGTTCCTACAATTTTAGAAAACTTAAAATATATTCCAATGATATCTAAATGTGAACTAAAGTTTGATGCATGCATTTTATGAATAACAAATTAACCATATGATTATTAATTGATAGAAGTGATGCACCAGGTTTGGACCTCCCCACATCATATAATTTAGCAAATGTAAGTAACGGATTTTTACTAGTTACACTACAGTTAATACTAGAGTAAATTTAACATCTATCTAATTTTTAGATTAGAATATTAACCATGACAGAGCAAAGTTATATTCATATATTAGTTTTAAAATAATTTTTATAAATTTGAAAAAAATTCAATGTACTTTTAACTCATTTTCAAATAAACATAGGCTATAATAATGTTATGTACCAGACGCTAATAAAAATAAAAATATGTTAAGCAAAAGTATATTCTTTTTTAAAAATTTGATAATATGTAAATTTGCTCTAATATCAACTATAAAGAAAACTATTAGAATCCAGTACATAGACTTTCTGTGTAAGACAGATACATTACATACAGGTATCTGAGGTATATGGTATAGTGTCCTGTTAAAGTAAGCACAATAATAATACCTGTAATTTTGTTATTGTTTACAACAACGTAAGCATCAATAATTCCTTCCTGAGGCAGGAACCAATGTTTGAATTCTTCATCAGAAAACATAGGTGACAAATCAAAGGTTTTCATATACTAAAAGGTAAAATTAATAAATATTATCTTTGGTTTACTTTTTTGTTAGTGTACACTATATTCTTACATTAGAAAGTAATTTTCGAGCTTGCGGCAAATCTTTTTCAGTGAGTTTGCGAAATCCAGGAGTGCGAATTGAATCAGGAAGTTTATGTAACTTTAATGTCCGTTGCATAGTCATATTGCGACTTAAGTGAGAAAACTTAACATCTATTAACTTTTTTGGATTCAAAGAACGATGCCAATATCTAAACAATATAATTTAAATTAACAAGAACAAAATATTCCACTATACCCTGTTCCAAAATGAGAAGCCAATATCAGGAGGATACGGGAAAAACCGTTATTGCTACGTAAAACTAGTGTCTTCTCTTTTAGGACAGAGTATAATAATGTTAAATTAATTGAAGTCCATAAATATTCTATTTTTGGAAATTATTCTTGAAGAGCTTATTTTATGACAGTACAAGACATAAATTTGTTCATTAAAAAGGAAAATTATTTTGTTTTATCATAAAAAGAAATAAAAGTGTAAAATGTATATGTATTTGACATTAAAATGTTAGTAAAACTGTGATTAATGGTGAACATTTTATAATATTACAAATAACCTTATTTAATTACCTGCAGGTTCCTATGGGTTTAGGTAACACAATTCCAGCTGTATAAACGGCTTGAAAAATACCCGTCTGATTCACTCTTCTAGTTATTTCACGAATCAAAACCGGAGCTACTCTTTTACTACGTAATCTTTTATGAACGCAAAGGAAATTAATCTCCACCATTTTTTGAGACCTACAAATGAAATAATCAATTTTACTAAATGGCTACAAAATAAAATAATAAATCATGTTTACTTGTTATAGACTTTAAGCAAAGCTGGGATGGCACTAATGAAACCAACTAATTTATTACTTTTAATGACACGCACTCCAACATGCCATTCTTTTAACCATCCAGGAGGTTGAAGAGCCCTGTTATTAATTAAACAGTATAAAAATTGAACAACTTAATATATAAATGTTAAAAATACCATTTTAAAAAATGAGGCTGATAATCAAATCGAAACATGCTATCTTCATCTTCAACATAGTTTTCATTTAACAATGTGTACAATTCTTTTAAAACAAAAGGATCGTCAAGACTAAGTGTATCCCATTGAAAATCATCAGGCAATGTAAACGGTTCATTTCTAATCTGATCTATTGTTTTGTCCTCTTCAATTGGACCATCATTAAGTATTGTTTCAGCTATATAAATTTTGTAAATTAAGACATATTTAATATTATTATTAGACATAGTTAAAAAAAAACCGGATTTAATATTTGTTAGAATACAAAGCTCGCCCTACTATAATTTGTTTTGTTAACAGGTTAATGTTTTTTTATAAGTTTGTTGTGTTATAGTTATTTATTTCAGTTCAAAATTGGCTAAATGGTTTGGCAATGCTAAGCATTCATAGCAATATCAATGTAGAATTTAGATACAGAAAAATAGTTGAGATTTAGTTGAGGGAAATTGTAACTATGCCGCTGGATGCCACTGTTGTTGATACTAACAAATTTATAATACTAAAAATTACTACCTATTTAATAATTTCTCATAACATTTAAAATTAATTACAAATAATATCTTAGATATTCTGTGGTGCAATTTAAAAAAAAAAGGTGCTCTGCTGTACAGTAGGTTACAAGTGGGTCACTGTATGATGGATGGTATTAAATTTGAATTCAATGATATCATATCATTGTATAAGAAAAACGATTCTGAGCGGAGACGGTATGTCAGTCTAGGTATAAGAAATATTATATACTTATCTATGGTATTAAAAAAATTTACCCATAATAAATTCTAAATTAATCATATCACAATATCCATTTGGTACTTATAACGCGTTATATATCAACAACAAACCCTGATACTATCATAGATATATAATAGTGTACTTTAGAAGTTTCAAGTTCCCACAAATAATATTATACAACCACAACAAAATAACTAAAATAGTTATTCTAGGTTTTTAATAGTGGGTTTTCTTTTTATCCTGTATACAAAATTTGTACCAGTATTAGTGTTTTGGTTTCACAATACATAGTACCTTATCTTATAGCAAATTGAATCAAGATGGTACTTTAGAGAGGTCATTTTTTGATTCACTTAATAGTTATTTATTGCCACTGGAAAAACTACCGATAAATTATGAAAAATGGTATTTTAATTTCTAACACTTTGTTTATCACATAGCAACAACTAAAAAATAATAATATTATAATAGTAATTCAACTTACAGGCTATAATAAATAATAACAATATAAAAAATCCAGACTGACAAACCGTGCCCGCTAAGAATCGTTTTCTTATACAACCATATTATATCTTTGAATTCAAGTTTAATACAATCCATTATACATTGACCCATTTGTAACCTCCTGTAAGCAGATGCAGCATCCACTTACCCGCTTTTTTTTTACTCAATTTACTAATGTATATAAATATTATATTATATTTTATTTATTACTATTATATTGTACAAAATATTCAAATTATAAGAACTTTTGATTATTGAATTATAATAATAATAATTTAAACTATGTATACATGTTTCCATTGTTAATATCAACATTTTAATAATAAAAAAAAGTGAAATTGTGATTACAATTTAAATTACTAATTCAGTAAATTTTAGTTATAAGACCATAGCTGTAAAAAAAAAAAATATATGTATAAATTAGATGTTGTTATTCACAAACTGCAAGTCTTATTATACCATGTACACTGTGTGTCATGGCACCACTGCTTTACTCCCGAAAAATCAAATTAAATATAATGAATACAAGGCCAAGAAATTTAGTTTCACATGAAAATATTACACATTTTTTACCAAATTATATATTATTATATTAAACAACCTAACCAGATTTCTTACCTATCCTTTAAGCTGTAACTTAATTAATGTGGCATTTGTGGGTCTATTCTTATGCATCTCAATTTGCAAAATATAAAAATATTTATTCCGAAATTTGTTTAAGTTACTTCAGGTGTCTCTCAAGGATCTCATTTAACTCATATTATCTTTCTACTAAATACAAATGATGTTTCTTAACCTAACTCTAAAAATGTTTTTTGTTAATGACCTAAAAATGTACCACACTATTAAATTCCATCACAATTCAGATCTTTTACAGAATAACTTTAATTTGCTTTCCAATTGGTGTAAATTTAATGATTTATCCCTTACACCAGAAAATGTAAATATATGTCCTACATCTGATCTCGTTCTACTATCGATTTTATTTATAATATCGATGGCATTCAGCTGGCACAAGTTGATAAAGATTTGGGGGTATTATTTGATAAAAAATTAACTTTCAACAATCACTTTTCATTTATTTGCATTTTAAGGACTTTAATCTATGTCAGGTCATCTGTTCTTAGATCTAAATTATAATTTTGAGTATTGTTCCGTAGTGTGGTTTTACTATTTAAAAGGTTAAAAAGTCTCTGGAGTTGTTCAGCATATATTTTTGTTTCTTTTTTAACATTCCTAGAGAGCCTCATTCTGACTATAGTTCTATTCTTGCCTCCCTAAATCTGGATTCCCTCAAAATTCTGAGAACTAAATTAGGTTTATACTTAGTTAATTATAATGTTGATTGTCCTGAGTTTTTACATATATATTTTTCAACGTTCCAGTTTATTATAGTACATGTAATACCACTTTTTTTAGTTATTTTCAAATTACTTTGTCACTGTGTTGATTGTCATAATAATTACTGTTTAATATAATGGGCTCGATCCGTTGAAATAAATAAAGTGATATACATGAACTATAGTTAAAATATTTACCAATTGTTAACAGTACTATAGCCATTAATAATTGTTAAGTATTATTCAAATAAAAACATGTAAACACTACATACTCATTTTAGGTACCGGTTGGGTATACCAAAATTTATATTGTTTATGCAAAGCTTCTTCTGGAGTTTTAGCTGCTCTTTGTTGAAGTGAGAACACTTCCATTGCTTTTTGAATATCCTGCAAAAAGTAGCAGTTGTAAATAGTAAAGATTTTAAGTGATTAGATTTTTTCAAATTAATTGTTTGCAACTACATAAAGAAAATAATTAAAACTGTATTATTTCTTCTTATAACTATTGATAATAATATTATATTTTGTGGTATATGTGTGGTGCACCAAAATGCTCAAAAAAGTTATCTACTAATTCATTTACAGTAAAAAAGGGGGTGTTCTCATTTGAAAAACAGAAATTTGTATCACCACAGGATACTTCTTAAGTATAGTGCAAAAAATGTCATGAGTTTGAAAATATAGGCTTGTTTAAAAATTCCAAACATCAGAATTTGAATAAATTCATTATTAATGGAAAAAATGGGGGTAAGCATACTTGGTGAATCATCCTGTATAATCATTTAAAAAAATAAATGTGACCGTCGGTGGTCAAGATTATCGACACGCCAAGCATATTTTCCATGGCATTCCAAATTTGAAAAACATTTAAAACTATAAAAATAATATAAATAATGTCGATTAGATCAAAAAAATGTTAATGATTCTATCTACGCCCCGAGCATATTTTTTTTTAAGGGACCCATAATTAACGAACTTTGGGCCCTGCAAATAAAAATTGAGCCTTAAAATTACATACTATTATGACTTATGAGCAATGGCCTTACGGATTCATATTATATTAAGCACAGTGGGTTCACTTATAAATTATTCACAACAGCTATTTAAATAAATAAAACTATGAATCAATAGATGCATAGGACTGCCAGAGCGCGAACCACGAGTCGCAACTTATTTTGGAATTTAGCAAACATTTTAAATTAGCATTAAAAATTGGCAAGGTCAGGTGATGACATTGTCGCATTATAATACAACAACTTCTCAAGAGCCGATGTCACGTCCATATCCACACCAAGTAGCACAGGATATTCAGATGTACTCATGAGCTGTTGAGACAAGAGCAACTTCACGCACACTCAGCCACATACACTTTTATATGATTACTATACCATTTATATTAGAATAAATAACTATGTCATTTTTCTGTTAAATTAGCTACGACTTATTTCAAATCATCATCTTTTGGTATCATGGATGGTCGTCCGCATGTAACAATACGGTTAAATATTTTTATAAATACTTTGCGGAGCCTTCCTCCCTATATAGACCAGGAACACGCAAAGTAAAAAAAAAATATTTATGAGACCCTAAAAATTAAATAAAAAGAAGGGCCCAGCGCCCATGGCCATGCAGACACTATTTGTAGTGCCATAGAAAAAGTCAATAATATATAGAACCATATTCATTTATGGTCAGATGGCATGATAGTAATTATGATCAACTATGGGTGCCGGTAGTCTCAAAAGTATACAATTTGAGAATTACAGATGTTCGCAAGCGGTCATATGATGATTAACATATTTAAAAAAAAATTTAAACAATAGTAATATTATAAGAGTGTAACTCTTTTTATGCAGAAAATGAATACAAAATACAAGACACAAATAAAGTAAAATTAAAAAACAAAATTTATCATTAATTAAAAAAAATATCAAACATTAATTAGGTATTTAAACAAACAATTATTGTAAATATAGCTGCTAAAGTAATTTTCTAGCTCTTACAATAAATGTTATTTAATTATTGTCTTTATTTTTTATACTCGCAAATTTGAATTTGAATTAATAAAATAAAAGGTACTAACTTGAATAGAAATAGTAGGTGGCAGTGAAGTTTCCTCAACAGCTCCATTTATATCACTTTGTTCTGCCTTAACACTATTTTTACGATTCCTGTTCCGCTTTCTAGAAAACGGATACGAAATAAAAAACAGGGACAATTTCTAAGAACTTTTCCTTCTAATTACTTTTTAGTTTGATTGACTTCGGTGTTTGCTTGATGCTCGTCGGGAACATTTGGTGTTTCACTCATGATGTTTAAGGTGTAATGAAAAGTGTAGTTTTGAGATGCTTTATGAAAATGTTAACAAGTAGGAAAGAATCTAAAAATCAATAAGCTAGTAATAATTTAGAACTAAAAACTAAAATTAAAAATATCAATTAAAATCGGCGAAATGTTGGAGTTGAGAAAGAAAAAAGCATTATCGGCTTTCGGCGTCCGGCGACTCGGCGTTCGGCAATAAAATTAAAAATTTTTTTTTTAATAATCATAGGTCACGAGGTTGCATAACCTGGTTTGTGGGATTCTATTTGATAAATGATAATAATCGATTTATTATATTAACGGATTTTTAAAATCGATATTGTAATATTTAACAATCGACATATTACACTGTCAACAAATAGCTTATATAATTATTGATTTGCATTTTTTTACAATTATTGTTATTCCACATTTTCACGGCTGGAATGCAAATTATTACTCGGCATTTTTTTATATTTTGTAATCGCTATGGTTATGCGTACAAAAATATAACCACAGTCAGTCCACACTACTCACTAGTAGTAATATGAGTCCACATAAGTGACGACCAAAATTTAACGATGTACAATTGTTAAATAAATAGTCGTGTGAGGGAGTACGAACAATAATTCTGTGAACAGCGGTCACTGGTTGAACGTCGAAAAATAAAAAATATACAATAACTATAATTGTATTTGTTATCAATTATGAAATAAAATAAAATATTACAATAATTGATAAGCTACATATAAAATTATTCGTGGCTCGTGCCTATAAATTGCACTAAATTTAGTCATGCATAATGCATATTGCTCTTTACCACCATAGGCAAAATTCCAACTGGGGGGCTGAATATATCATAGGCAAGCAGACCATTGCAATAAAGCATTTTAAAATTGTATGTCCTAGATTTTTTTTGTGGTGCTAAGCCCCCCCAATTTGCGCCCATTTTTACCACTCTACGACGGAGTAATATGTAGATATACACTAGTGGGTATATCTTAGTCCGGACTCTATTATATGGTGTGTAAGCAATATTCCATCAATGTGTGGAGCACATAGACATATTATAAAAAACTATATCTATGATGGAGCACGAAGCCATAAACGAAGTTAATTATTTTAATATAATTAACCTAATATTATTTTAGTTCTAGGTGTAAAGTTGGTTCCCCAAACCACAGAACAATACCAAAACTACGCAAAAGCCCAAAGTGTAGACATTTGGTAAAGTTAGATAAGGATAACACAGTGCTCTAGTCACTCTGCAAATGGCTGCAATAAATAGTAGGATAGATTTCAATAATATAACATTAATTATTCATCATAATTTATAGGGCATAGTCTCATGTCTTGTAACTTTTTATCAATATTTTTTTTTAGTCATTACTCATTACAACACTAATATTATGTTTTTATAAAACGTAAAACAATATTGTAGATATTTCTGATAAACAAAATAATATATTACTAATTTGTTTGTCAATCTTGTTTTTTATACGAATATATAAGGCTGGGGTTTGACAAGTTAAAAAGTTAAGTTACTTTAAACTAAGTTGCATAACAAGTTACTATATTTTTTTTTAGAAGTTAATAAATTAAATTATTTTCAATTTTATGCAGTAATTTATTGTCCTGTTAAGTTTATTTTTTTTTAAACCATTGATTGAAAATAAACTTTATCACAGCGTACAATCAGATATAAATGTTTGTTTTTTTTACTCCTATTTTGACGAATATGATATAAATAATAAATCACCTGACACTCACCTCAAAATGATCCTAGTTACTCCATTAGTTGTACATTAAATGTGTTTATTGCTATTTTTATATATACAATATTTTTGTTGTTATATTTATATATTATATAACCATATTTTAAAATTTTTTTTTTAATGGGTTTTGGTAGGATTTCCTGGGATTGATTGAATAGCAATTTAAAAGAGACGTAAAATTAGTGATATTTGTCAAGAACTTTGTAAATTTCAGAAGATTGTTATTGTCAACAAATAATTTTAGTCATTCAATTATTATTTTTTAAATATGTTTTTATTTTGTACTTGGCCATATGGAAATTAATAAACTAACTTCTTTTATAGCAGCAGTCTAAGTCAATAACATAAGAGATTCAGTTTTTTAATTCTTTTTTAACATTTAATAGTTAATTATATTTGTTCATTATTTTAATAAATTGACTAAAAATCAATCAAAATGATGAGAAAATTAATAAAAAATGGAAGTGTTATATCGAAACATTATAGAACATCTGCTATAAGTAATATGAACAGTTGTGAAGATATTAAAAAAATCAAATCCGAAAATGAAATAAAGAAAATTATTTTTGATAAAAGAGAAGAATATTTACAATTAATGAAGACTCAGTCAGTTGAATGTAATGATTTGTGTAGTGAAATAAATAAATTGGAATCTAAACTAAGGGAAAAATATGGGTTCAGTAAAGATGAAGATCTAACAATGTTTCCCGAAATCAAATTTGAAGAACCTAAAATAGAGAATCCACTTGAAGAGACCGAAAATACAAAAATACATAACAGTTTAGTACCAAAGCATGTATAATAATAACTAAATAATAATTATTTTTTTCTGCACTGTGTTGTTTTTTCTTTTCTTTTTTTCAAATGTTTTTTTAATTTCACCTTTCTCTTATCTGCTTTTTCATCTTTTACTTGTTTTTTTCTTAACTAAAAAAATACACCATGCACATATAAATATAGATATTGTAGACAACTTAGTATTATATTAAAATCTTACTCGTTTACTTTCAGCATCTTCATTTTTTGGTCTTGCAGAATTAGAAAATTTACTTTTTTCATCAGAATCAATATTTTCTTTTTCTGATGTACTACTATTGCTATCATCAGAATCATCATCTTCTAATATTGCTGGTGTATTTTGAGGTCCAGATAAATCGTCTTTAAGTCCAACAATTTTTTGATAAATTAAATCTTCACTAGTTTGCCCAGATTTTACCAAACTAATATCCCTTTCAAAATCTACAACCTAAAATCATTTAAAAATTGTTAACAAAAGCTCAATTTGCTTAAACAATTTTAGATGTATTGTAAAATGTACCTCATTTAGATTTTTTGGAATATATGCATTTTTGAATACTTCTTGTTCAACCATTTCTTCATTTGTTAATGGATCTGAATTGACCATATTTACTTGAAGACGATCTAGACAAGTTTCCATATTATCTAATGTGATGGTGGGATCAGTGAGAAAGTCAAATAAACATTTAATGGTTAATGTACCAACATCATGATGACGGAAAAACTCTGAAAAAAAATTATATGTACTTCAATTATCAACAAAGTATCTATAGAAAATTATTTACCTGTAATATTTGTACAATCTTTTCTAAGGAATTCTAATGCATATGGATGTTCATGTTCAACAGCTTGAGATACGTCTATCATCACTATTTCACCATCATTATACCTATAATTGTATTTATTATGTTTGTTTATTTATAATATTATGTTAAAAATATATTTACAATAAATTAAACTCGCTAAGATCAGCATGTACAAGTTTACAAATGTTGTATAGTTTCCACATAATTATTAAACAATCTCTATAAAGTTGGCACGCTTTAGACGTAGTTAAACGAGCATCCTGTTAAAATAAAAGTATAGTAAACAGATAGGTATCCAAAGAAAATTATTTAAATATATCCAGCACAAATACTTTTAATTTTGGAGCAGGCCAACCATCTTTACCGATAAACGACATCATTAAAACATGCGATCTTAACAAAATTGGTTGAGGTACCGGTAGACCAGCTGCATACATTCGAGCAAGATTACGCATTTCTTTTTCAGCCCATAAACGTACCATTTTTCTTGGATTATGCCTGCAGTAACCATGTCTAAATCTATAAAAGCAAAAATCCAATAAATTTATCTTACAAAAAAAAATCGTAAGTTGATGATTTAAAATATTTTAAAATTATCAAGTATTAAGTTTATGTTTAAATAACAAACTGAATAAAACAAAAATTACTAAACACATTTGGAATTGTGTTATAATAAATGTCGATATCTAATTTCGAAGCACAAGTTAAAAATTTACATTAAGTCCTTATTAGTTATTAATATAGTGTTTTCTTCAACATACATTAAAGGGTGAGAAAAAAAAAACAGGAAAATATTAAATATTAAATATCAAAATTGTATAAATCCATATTAAATTTCCAAAAATACTATTTTGAAATAATGTAAGTTCATTGCTAAAAAAATAATATTTATAGTACATCAATATACAATATATATTATATATAAATAGAAATTAATCATCGAAACAAGTTTTAAATCAACAACTTTAAACCTGCAAAATAATAAGCTAATTGGGTACTTTGAGGTACTTGAGTAGGTACCTGAATTCACCAGTGACATAACGATCACGATCTTTGAACACCAATATTGATGTTTTAAATACTTTAATAGCATAATGTTTTTCACTATCAGTTGAAGTTGAATGATAGACGTTTGCTTCCTTGCCAGTAGATATACACCCATCAATTTGTCCAATCATTCCTCTGTTAAGCAATTTAAATAGTATCATTCGAGTTCTTGGATCCATTACTTGTTCAGCTGTAGCTCTGTCACATTTGTCTTTATTTCTAAATCTAAAAAATTACAAAAAACCATTATAACTTACATGTGATGTCTTAAATATCAATAAACTATACCGCATGGCATCAGCTTTTTTGTAGCTTTCCATAAGTTTATTAGATGCTTCGTGAGTAAGTACAGGCCCTTCATACGGATCTGTATTTACTTTGTCTAAAAATTTTTTTATTACATTCTCTGATGGTTGGTAATCACTAATTTTGACGTTTTTGTTCTGTTGGTTAGGAGTAGTAGATTGAATTTGAGCCTTAATTTCATTTACCCCTTTTCTACTATAACATCCTATTTAGTTAAAAACGAGACATTACTAATAATGAATGAATTAATTTTTTTAATTTATTACCATTATCAAAAAGTGTTTCGTCATCACTGCTGTCGTCTGAGTAATCAGTATCATATGTATTTTGATCATTTACTAACTTACGGCCATTATTATTAAAAGTCATCTCACCAAACAATTTTGATATATCGTCATTGTTATTGATGACCAATCTAAAAATATTAAATAAATAATTAAATAATAGGTACATAAAAATTAATTTTTTGAGTTTTATTTTTAATTATAAGGGGAGGAGCACTTTTACTCTAGGGATAACTTTCTAACTTTTATTGTATAGGACTCCATTTACTCTATTTAGGATAAAAGCGGTACAGAGTGGCACTTGTGTGCGTTTTCGTGTTCCAAATGCCGAACCTGGCAGTTGACTTGGAGAAGCATCTGACCGCTGTCGGAAGAAAACTTTTTCACTTTTGCAACCCGGTACCAGTCTTATCCTGAATAGAGTATAGTCTCTGTGGCACAATGGAAGGATGAAAGGGGTTTTTCACCCCACTGGTCATTTTGAACTCAGGTTCTCTAGGACTATAGCGCCTGTAACTATTAATTTCTAGTTATGACCATGACCATAGGCGTGTTTCAGGCGTTACTAAAACAATACCTAACTGCATTTATACCTATTTTTATTTTTATTCGGTAAAGGCTAGATTATAATATTGAAATCTTTAGAAAAATATCAAATATTTTTATTGATCATTGTCTGGTGGACAGTGGCCACAATTATGCGCCAAACATCACCGATGAATAATAAGTAATAACCATGAAATGTAATATATGAAATGTAGTATATGAAATGACCTATCATTGATCTATAATTCTATATTATATGTTAGTACATTACCCAAGTTTCCAAACTTAAATTGTAATCATAAAAATATACTTACGGGGAATCGTCATCTTCTGCGTCACTGAACTGATGCATTTTTGACAAAAGTGCAAAACGCAGTGGTTATTTTCAATTCCAACTTAAAATAATATGAATATGAACTCGGGACTAGGTTTTCAGCACTAATTAAGAATATCTTAATTCGTGGTTTTTATTAGCACGACATTCGTCGATTCGAATACGTCGCACGTGTAATTAATAAAATTATCAAAGATCAAAATAAAGTATAAACACTGTTATCAATACTACAAATGATAACGACAGATAATAAAGGAAGTTAAATCCACAGATATATATATATCTGTGGTTAAATCACAAAATCTAATATCTATTCAGGGGTTAAATAATGAGGTAGATATAATATAATAAATAATAATATATAATATACTTTATTTGATGCAGTTCATATAGACCAGCAATTCATGATCCATAGTTATCCATCGTTTATAGCATAGACATAAAATTATTCTATTATATGTCTTTGGTTTATAGTGCCAATGGTGCATTGATGCCATTATTTTGTTTCATAACAATATGGAATTATTTGGAATATCATTCATTCAGTTCACAAAAATATTAAAGACATAACTAAATAATTATATGATATATAATTTTTTTTACATTGATTAAAGATACATAGGTGATGTGCGGTTTTTATTTATAAGGATTTAGAGTTAAAAATTTGACAAAATTCATCAAAATCATGAACATTTACAAATTATTTTGTAGTTAAAATGTATACAATCTTCAATCTTTATAGCTACAAATTGAAAATATAAAACAAATATTATCATTAATAGATCAAACTGTAATCAATAAATCTAAAAATTATATAAACAGTTATTTTTACAATTATTCAAATTTGGACGAAATTACAGATTACAACCAAAAATAACGATTTTAGTTATAATTTAAAAATATTATGCATGGACATATGAAACTTTTAGAGTAGGTATATTATTTATTATATTTTATACACACTCATTTTTTTTTTTGGCAAAAATACTATATATATGCCTAATACTAAAATTAATTATTTTAATCACAAAAATATTATAAAATATACCTACTTACATAGTAGTATTGAGTAACGTTAATGATGTAGACGTAGTGGTCAGTTCATTAAGCTACCAACCACGGTACAGCGGGTTCGACTCAAAATTTTTTTTGTTTTTGTGTCTTCACAATCGACCGTGACACCAGATAGATAATCCAATATATTATTAAATTTATTAACCAGGCTAAATCAAATAAAAAAAAAATGGTGTTAAGATTGGGTTATTAATTTGATTTAGCTAGGGTAGTAAATATAATAATAAATAATATTTTTAATAATATACTAGATGTGTATTTCTTTTTATTTTATTCCAATACAAACCTTATGTTCTATCAGTTGAATGGCTCTGAGAGAAGTTTCATGCGTGCTTGTTACAAGCAGTTTTTTTTTTACCTATCATGACCTTTTGGGGCAGTAACAACATCAGTATCTCTGTTGGTGAATTCAGTATAATCTATAGTTGGTACTTTTGGGGTATAAAGGTAAAAATGTCTCAGTAGTATTTAAGTAGTAAGCAATTAATATTTTAGATTTACCTACAACAAAATAGAGAACTATATTGTTATTTTTCGTTAAAATATCAAATTTTGAATTTGATATGTGTGGTTATAAGAAAAAGGATTTTTATTTGTGGATTTAAACCGTTTAATGTCTCCATAAAAATGTAATATTATGTAAGTATGTAACAAACTGACACATTTTTATTTAAAAAAGAACACAAATTACAAAAAAAATCTTCTTCGGCTGGTTTCAATTTTATGTCTTTTATCAGTCATTATCCATCTGTATTCACCACACTTTGGATCATATAAACCCTCTTGAAGATATTGCAATCTCAATGTAAACTTTGGTCCTAATTCTCTGAGATACGGTTTATTTTTCAAAAACTTATATCTGTGATGCCGGAAAAATATGTAATCCCTCTGATTATGCATTGTCACAACATGTCTGCCTTTAAATTCTGCGTCTTGATGAAACACTGCACCTAACATACGAGCTACAGTTTTACCTAATCCTGTTGTAAAATTTGTAGTGATTACTTCTGGCCTATGGTCAGTAAATTCTTTGCGCTGCCTTTTGTTTGGAAATATAACATTACTTAAACGGAAATATGCGGTTGGTCCATCAGGTAAATGTACAAGAATTAAACCATTAGGTTCATTGCGGTCCTCATTTATGATTATCAAATCTGTATATCCTTTATTAATAGCAGCTTGAATTGTTTCTTTTACAGAAGCATCACGACGAAAAATTCTAACAGAATTAGGTACAATTTCTGTTAAAATTTTACCAAATTCTCTAACCTTCCTCAGAGGCTTTTCCTTGTATGTAATCAACACTTTAGGTTTATAAAGATTTGAATAATAATCAGCAAACTCATCGTGTTCAAATTCAGCAGCCAAGTCCTGTGTTTTTTGATCATAATCTTCATCGTCTGAGTGTAATACAGTAGAATCTGGTTCCCTGGTGTTTTCGATTGTTCGAGGTACTTGCTTCGGATCACCACTAGCCTTTCTAAGTTTTCTATCTCTTTTTTGAATTTTTTTTTTATTTTTTAAGTCTCTTAACTTTTCCTGTCTTAGTAATCCTTTAGGTTTCTTTCGAGCTAATTTTGGTAACTCTGGTCCTGCCTGACTTTCCTAAAAAATGTATATATATATATTTATATTAATTATTAATGAAAGCATATGAATAACATTCTATACATTATATATAATATGTTATAACTAGGGTTTGGGACATCTTCTTGCATATGCATGTTTTTTGTAGTGGTCGTAGATTATTCTAGGTAAGTTACAAAGTTGTTTTATGAAATAGCAAAGTCTGAATTTGCATATATTTACATATTTTAGGAAAAGTGCATAACTGAGTGATTTATAGCATATTAATTGTGCATATTTCACATTTTTTTTTACTTGGATGCAAGTACAATTGTCGGGAAACCTTCCATTATAATATTGAATAAGCTTAAAAAATGTTTAGGAAATATTTGGAAATCCCCTATTTGCTTGTAGGGTATGTAGGTATATAAGATAATATGAATCTCTTTGTGACAAAACTTAAGTTGTTTTATTTCACGATAGTTTTAAAATGCCCAAAACATGTAATAGTGTCAACTGTCCATCATATTAATCAATATAAATTTGAATTAGTAAACCTGCATAAAAATGATTTTTATTATGTTTATGTACCTACTTACTTTTGAGTTTTTTATTTCCAAAAAAAGTAGTTTTATGCATTTTTCAAAAATAATTAAAAAATTTAGCTGCATATATTTAAGCTTTTTTTGACTACATATTTCAATAATTTTTAGTGCCCAATTTAGGTCCCAAATCTGAATATCTATTGATGGAACTATTGATATATGTGGAAGCCAAGGCCTGGGAGGAATGAAGCACGTCATATCATATCTAACTAGACAGACCTGTGCAGATATTTTTGTTGAACACAAAGGGGTTGGAATAAACCAACCATTTTTTATTAGTAGATTATCAGTTCATTTCATTTTTATATATATTCAAATATATCACGTTACAGTGACCAACTCAATGAATGTACGCTAGAAACTTTCTATAAATTACAATACAATAATTTATAGAATTCTTAATGATAATTAACTCAATAAACGATAGAAAATGTTTAAAACACACTACATGGATTATATTTTATTTTGAATAACGTTATCAAATTATGACTTTTTTAAGCTTTTAATACATAAACGTATTATTAAGAAGATCTTTATTTCAACTATCGGTAAATACCTATCTAACACGCTAATAGTAATAAATAATTAAACAGTAAATATTACTTACATCAACTTCATTTTCTGGTTCCATTTCTTTTGAATCCATTTTTGACAATGCGACATGCGTGAATGCTATATGCGATATGTGATAATATGGCGATGCCTGAATGCACGATCCCGATTGCCGAGTGCAAATCGAATAATATTTATCCATGATGTTTTTGTGGCGAGATAACAAAGAAATGGAAGGCCCATTCCAGTGTTGCTAGACTGAACTTGCGTAAGGTTGGCAACTAACCCAGCCATTGATAAGGAATCCTCATATCGACATTCGACCATAGAAATATGATATTTAAAATATCACAGAACAATATTGAATATGTAATAGGTAATATCTTTATATATCTATGCATTCAACAGTTCGACATGCTTAATTAATTCATATTGACTAGGATTTAGGAAATTAGCTATTTAAAATATAATTATTAGTTTATTAATGATCGACCCCTATTATAATCTAAGGATCATATCGACCTATTCGACCACTACGGTGAGCCGATTTGTATAATCTATATATAGACTCATACTTCATAGAAAGTGTCTATAAGTCTGAGTATAAGGGCATATTGGAGTAAGGCCTAAACTGAGTACCTACTCTGGTTAGCTCTATACAATTTAATATTTATACAATTTCAAAGTGTCAATTTTATTGTTTTTTTAAAATACCTAAATATATTACAACTATACAAATAATATGCAAAGAACTATAATATAACCAATATGGTTACTGGTTAAGAAAATAAGAAATAAGAATAGCAGTATCAGTTAACACGATGTAGGGAAGTGGCGTCGTTTCAATTTTCAATAGCAAAAGTTTTAACCGGCCCGAATTAGTAAAAAAAACCGATTGCTTCACTTGCTAGCACATATCTATCATTATCTACTTGACTATTTACATTTTTATCAAATCACCTCCTCATTTATTTTTTAATTTAAATATTTAAATATTATAAAAATAGGCATGTCTAAGATAATATAATAATGGTTAAAGGACAACAACCCGTCACCGGCCTAGAGAAGACAAACAAAAAAAACCATTTTTATAAACAGGGTACCTCACTACCACTATAATTTATCTACAGATTACAACTAAATTATTTATTAATTGGCTATATCGGAATAAACAAACAAACTTACCTATATTATTATATATAACTCAAAACAATATTATAATTTCTAGGTAACATCGTATAACAAACAGTTTAGTTTGACGGCAGTCTAATAGAGTAGACATTTTTAAAATCCATTCACTCAAAGCTAATTTTTAAATAGTTTACATATTTTTCAAGACTCTTAAAAATAAAATTTTATAAAATGGCAAAGAAAGTTGGAGGAGACTCAGCCGAACTCAACTACGACATGAACTATAATTTGTTTCTTTTGAAGACTTCTATGCAAAACTTGAAAACAGCACAGGGTAATAAATAATAATTATAAGTACACATTTAACCTTCTACCACTCGGAACACAAATTCTGACCCCCCAGAAATGTTTTACATTCGTTATCTTTAGATTCTGAGCGTTTTGTATTCAATATTCACTGCATCGTCACTAATAACCTATATATAACCATACTCCTATAGTGATTGTACGATGCCGCCACTTATTTTGCATATCAATATAATATAGGTATAACCATTTACCGCCCCTTTATAATTATCGTTTTCACGTCGCAGAAAAACACAGCGTGAACCGTTGGGTGCACAAACTGTTGGCGAGCAATAAGACGGTCGCCGAGATGAAGCTCCGTAACGATTTCATGTTCCACCTGGTAACGGCCGTCCAGGAGGGCGAGATCAAGGCACCTTTCAACCAGTATCCGCCGTCGTTGCCGCTCAGCAGTCTGACGTACCTGTTGACGGGCAGCTCACCCAGTTCTAGTGGCAAGGACGGGAAAAAAGGCGCTGGCGCTTGGGAGTGTGACCTGTCCAGCGAAGACACGGAAAAGCCCATGTTGTACAGACAATCGCCCGACGGCGGAGCGTTTTTGGCCGCACAACCTGTGCCAAAGTGTGGAGCGTTCTGTTACTTGGCCGTTGTCAGCAAGCCACCGGCAAAGGACGGCGACAAGCCCAAGTTGTAATAGTAAAAAACGGGACGTACCTACCGTGTATGGTACATATATGTATAGAATATATTGTACCTAAAATAAATAATATGATTTGTTAAATCATTCGCTTCAGTGTTGTTTTTTTACTTACACACTTTATTACACTTTTATATGAATTATGGGTTAGCCGTTAATCGTAATTAGGCACAGTGACTCAAAAAAAAAACCCCTGACGTAATAAAAATGATAACAAGGTTATAATATAGGGTTTTACAATAAGGACGCTCGATGTTTCATAGTGAAAAAAAACAAGTTGTGTGTGAGATATATACTTAATTTTTATTTTATTTTAAAGAACGTTATATGGCAATTATTTATGGAATATAACATCTTTCAAATGTCCACCTCGGCTTTGCTTGGTGGCATAGGCGCACATAGGGTGTGAATTTAGGGGGTGCTAGGATAATTTATGGTTCACAGATCCATGGGGGGCTTTGCCCCCCACACCCCCCTAATCCTATTATTTCTGCATTGCATTAGATTTAATTTGTATAGTGTATATAATAATTTCTAAAGTGCAATGTATCAAATAGTCTGTATGATTGTAAAGAAGACGCTAGGTACACCAACATGTGTTGTCTCCGTATTACAGACGTAGGTACAACATAGGCAAAACTGTTTTGCACGGGTATAAAAAAACATTCAGGCTCTACTCTAAGCTAAGAAACTAAATGTTCACACTATAAAAATGAGAAAATTTACTCTGTAACTTTGGTTTTATATTTCCGATATCAAAACCAAAATAAAAGTTATTTAAGTTTGATAAACAAAAAAGGTGCTCTGCTGTACAGTAGGGTACAAGTGGGTCACTGTATAATCGATGGTATTAAATTTGAATTCAATGATATACTAACATCATTGTATAAGAAAAACGATTCTGAGCGAAGACGGTTAGTCAGCCTATGATATTACTAAGTATATTTGATGATACTAAGGTGAATAAAGCATTTTATATATAACCTATTTACGTAGAATCTTGTTTTAAATTTCAATCATTAGCTATAAAAGTTGAACATTTTATAAATTTTTAACTATAAAATTATTATTAAATTTTAAATATGATAAATTTCGTCAAAATTTGAATTTTAAATAATTATAAAAAAAAAATGTGCCTATGTATTTTTAATATTTTTCAAGTGTTATTGTAACAATATATCAGGAGCTTTGCATTAAATTTTCAAGCTTTTTTACCATACAAATAACATTTTGTTGATATGAATAGAAAAAAAAAATTAAAAAATTGAAAACTGAAAATGTCCGTAAATAGCTCAAAAAGAATCAAAATATTTTCAAAACTATATGGTGTATAGGAAATGCTAATATAAAAATTTAGTAAAATTTTCAAGTATCTACAGTCATTCGTTTTTTAATTACAACAAAATTAGAAAATCGTTACATGAGAAATCGAGTGAATATCAAATGTTGTAAAAATATGAATTTCAAACGTTCATAAAAATTTAATTTGAGATTCTTGTAGACATTTTTTTTTTGATAAAGGTAGACAAACTTATGAGGAATCTTGCGTCGTAGGAATCATTTTCATATCTTAGATTTAAAAAGAAAAATGTTTATGAAAATAAAGACATTTAAAATTTGAAACATGATATATTATATTCTGCACGTATTATTATACAGACGTAATTATAGATGCTAATATCCGATTATAGTCATCTGGTCATCATAGTTATAAACTAAAAGTCTGAAAACAAAAAATATCCACTAAACGTTTTAATGACATTGTACAGTAACCGCTGCAGAGTAAGTAACCTACCACGAAAAATCAATTCGTGGACGTAAAATGCATACTATTTCTGATAAGTGTTAGAGGAAAAAAATAATATTAATTGCGAGGTTAGCTGCAGTTCGTACAGTTCAGGACCAGTTGCTATAAATTATAATATAACATAATATTGTGTTTATAATATGTATCATGTATGGTCAATATATAGGTAATTGATACAAATATGAATACAATTTATAGGTATAAATTGAGTACTTCATATTTGTACATGAATATTATATAGTATTTATTTAGTAACTACCAAATACCAACTGTCGGCTTATTGGTATAGGTATTCATTATTGTTAATGAACTGTTGTGATATTGATTATTATGAAACTGAAATATTAATGAAATAAAATATGCCATACTGCGGGAAGGAAGTATATAATTTTGTACTTTTGAAGACTTTAGACTGCAGCTTATTATATTTTTACATAATAATATAGTGTGTAGGACATTGGACATAGGTTATTTTAATATTTTATTTGTGGATGCACTGTAAATATGGCGCCAGCGGGAAAACTAGGAAAACTTACACTCAGACGGGGAAAAGAGGGCTGGAAGAAATCGATTTCCATGTCAGCAGCTGATATGGATGATAATCAGAAAGAAAAATACTGATGTGCAAGTATTTAATATTAATTTCACATTCGTTCGTTATTTAGTGTTATAGTATGATATTTTTAATTCGTTTGTCGTTTTGTTACATTGTCGATCATATTATGACAAGGTAAGTACTAATAGTGAAATATTACAGTAGGTACGAACCTAAATTATAATTACACACCTATATTGTGACATGGTAGGTATAGTATAATATAAAGTTTATGTTCTTATATTATTATTGTTACGTAACATCGAATTTCAAGTTAGCAAGTCAATACTAATAATTGTAAATACTTATACAGTTATACCAAAATTTTACTATTTTACATTCATTTATTATTATTATCATTCACGCAAGTGCAATAGTCATATAATATACATACCTACCTACTTTTAATTATGTAGTATGCTGGCTCATTTTATTATCAACAGATATGTGATGCTCCTTATTTTGAAGCATTCAGAAAACTATTAGGTACCTATACGTTATACGTTAAAACGATGGTTCTGAAAAATAAAAACGAAAGCTGTACAGAATTTCCTTGTTATTCACAAAATTAAATAATATTGTTTAGGTCAAATGTGAAAACTAAACGTTAATTATCACATTTAATAACCACCTAACCACGTTTAAGTAGTTGAATATTTTCAACTATTAATTGGTGTATAATGATTTAAATTTACGATAACGATTATGGAATACGGTGACAGTGTAATAATAGGTACCTGTACATCACTACTACCACTTATCATAAATACAGTATCAAGAAAATAAAATATAAAAATAAAGCTCCAACCTGTTGACTGAAGATGATGATTTAATTTAGATTTTAGGGGACTAAGTTCCATCAATCCTTTCACTATACAACTTATACCAATGTGTATAGAGTATACATAATATACATAAAATATAAATACATTTTGTACATAAAATTATAAAAATAACAAAACATATAGGATACATTTTTTTTATAAATAAAAATCTATACCTTTATGTTTAGACTGCATAATTTATAATTTTAATTTTACCTGATCTATATAATTAGATATTTCAGTTTCAGTCAGACAATTTAACATACGATTCCTATTGCCATACAAAATTATATTTACAATTGACCATTTTAGGTAGGTAGTGGATGATAAATTATAATAATATGAATTTATTTAGATTTTAACTTAAAACCTTTTGACGTGATTTGTCAATATTTTATTTTATAACCTCAATAAAAAATAATAAATAATAATATATTTATAGAATAGGTTTGTATTTAGGTACAACTTTTATATAAATACAAATGCAAATAAAATTACAGAAGCTTTCAGAAGCTTATATTATATTATGTCTATATAATTTGGTACCTACTTATAAATAATCGTTTAAGTAGAGTTAAACCAGAAGTATGTCAATGTCGAAATTGTATTATAAACAATACGGGTTTGCATGTAACAAGTATCAACTGCTTACATGTGCAGATGCAGAACATACGTGTTAACATATGTCTAGGTTACGAATTACAAAATGTGGTCAAGATAAAAAATAAAAGTTCTTTTATAAAAAATTAAAATTAAAATTTTATCGATTGAAAAATAATTTAGGATCATTTGAATTTCGTACTTAAAAATAATGTATTTTAACAATTAGATTCGAAACTATATATTTGCTTAATATTTTGGTACATGTGTTATGTCATTTTCAGTTAGAAATATCATATACTTGTATAGTATAAAGAACATCCAATGTTATTATTTTTTTTAAGTTGATTAATATTTAATTCTTTTTCATGTTATGTTATTTTATTTTACAATAAAAACTTTTAAGTTACATTCATCATTTAAAATAAATCAATAAGTAAAGTATACACCTAATTTATTATATTTTTAAACTATGGTTTGATTTATTATTATTATACTATTATATTATACTGTTAATTATAATTTTAAATAGATACCATTAAAATATTAAATTATGTTAAAATTTACTATAATACGTGAGTATAACATTATCTAAAATATTGTGTTTTTATTAATCGTATATTCATATCTATTCATAGAAAAGTAATTTAATAAAATAACCACAAAAATGAATAATTATATTTGTATAATGTATAGGTAATATATGTACATAATATATACAGATAAGTAATTTTGGCTATTGCATTAGGAAAGTTACAAAAAATTTAAAATAGAAATGAAAAATGTGTATAATATTATACAACGTGGTTAAAATAAATGAAACACTGTACCTACCTAGTGAAAACCCGTTAAAGTTTTAGGTACCTAGGTAATATATGAAATACTCATGCAAGCAGCTATATCGTAATATTAGTATTAGGTACTCAACTTTTCCATATTTTAGTATTTTACCTTTATGGGTAGTCTATAATCATTTATAAGTAACCTGGAACCTGGTTAACCTTTGTTATGCCTACATTCTGTAATATAAATATTAAATGTATACACTATACACTATACAGTATACATACAATATACATATTATATTGTATTATTGTATGTACCTATGTATAATACTATTAATACTATAATAGTCTATTATGAAGTAGGTACTATTAATCACTATGTATTAATGTTATCATGTATAATAATTGTACTACCAGTCTTAACTAACGTAAAAATAACCTTTAACTTAACATATGTATAATAGCAATAAAATATTGAATATGTATGTAATATGTCGAGCGCTTACTATTATTTACATACGAGATACGAGCCATACGACAAAACCAATAGATACCCTATAAGTTATAATTTTATCTTATCAAACTAATTAATATTGTTAATATACCTATACATTATACATGTCATACATACCTATATGAATTATGAATATTATAAATTATAATGTATAATTATTATTGTATATGATATTATCGAAGTTCTATTTCCGTTACTTATATGATATATCTATATAGAAGGTTTAATTCAAATTTTGCACAGTGCCAGTTACTCTAGATATATAATACGAAACGACTTATTTGCAGATAACAACATTCACTGTTTTCGTGTAATGCAGCTAATCATCGACAATGCCTTATTTATCGGCAGCCCGGGAGAACGGCCACAGCGATAGTCGACTGAAGTTGTTCAATGGTCTGTTCCGATGGAAAAAATCAGAAAAAGAAAAGCAAAAAGGTAATTTAAATATATACATTTATAATTATTATATTCTAATTAAATTAATTAACTCACATATTTTAAATATAATATAGCCAGGCAGCTAAGTAAAAGTGAAGTTTGTATAGCAACATCGATGTCAGTGAAAACAAGAAATTCGTGTCCTGCTTCTCCTGCTCTTTCTATGCCCAGATCTAGAGACGTATTCCAGGACATGGAGGCACTTAAAATATCTAGACACGACAATCCATACTTACAGGTACGAAAAAATAATTTTTATATAATTTTATTTTTGAAATTTAAAAGAACCTACCTATAGATACATACAATGTGGGCACAAATTAATTATGTAACTGCACTTAAAAATAATTGTTTATTAAGCAAAGAAAAATTTGTATGTACCTATACTACCTAATAGCTTTTCTTTTTGTTAATACTTTATTATGATAGACATTAATAGAGTTTTTTTATGAACTATAATAGTTTAAGTTTTTACTTTTTACACACATAAAGATATACTAATTTTACATTTTATATTATTATTTGAGTAGGTACATGGCTATACTCATAATATGAAACATATAAACTCAGGGGCCCACTTTCAATGAAAAATCTGGGGGTTTTAAAGCCCTATTTTTTTACATGTTATTTTATGGTTATGGAAATCAGCTTAAAATTTAAATTAACATAAACAAATTTGGTTGTGCTAAATTCAAAATTCGGGGTGCTAAGCACACCCAAGACCCCCTCAAATTGCGCCTATGCATATACTTACGCGAATTCTAATAATTCATTTTTTATAATAATATAAATTGTAATAAAAAAGTTTAAAAGTTTGAATTCCTGTGTTGTAGGTAGATTTTAGATATATGAAAAACGTTTTAATAATTTGACAAGTATATTAAACTATTTGCAGTTTACGTCAACTAAAAGACATTTTAGTTTTTTATCGAATATATAATTATTTAATACTAAAAATTTACAATTTTCAATTTTCAAAAGCTTAGAAAGTAATTTTTAAAAATTGACTGAAGTATGTAAAAAAAATAGCTCAGAACTGTCGGAAAATACAAATTTATTTCTGTAAAATAATAATATTTTAATACAAAGAGTACCTAAACCTATCGTTATCAGGCTCTTATATAACAACGATTTTATCTGCCTACAAGTGTTTATATTAGCATTTTCTATAGACCATACAATTTTCAAAATATTTTCACTCTTTTTATTTGAGCTATTTATAAGCATAAGAAGTTTCCGAATTTTAAAAATTTTTTTTTTCATAAATATCGAAAAAAAATTTTGTTGTGACAAGTAGCTTCAAAATTGAATACAAGGATCCTTATAAGTTTGTTATAATAGCAGTTCAAAAATATTAAAGATAATATATATGAGCACCATTATTAGACAATAGCCGAATGATACAGTAGGTTGAATTAATTTTGGCCTAAAAATTGCATTTTAAGATGTCATTGTGTTTATAAATAATAATAATTTGCTTAAAAAAGTATCAAGTACCCTCGAATAATATTTTTAAATAGCAACCAAATAACTAAAATTGGTATTCTTTGTTTAAACATCTAATTTTTCCCAAATTTAAACTTAAAATATCTATAAAAAAAACTGTTTTAGAATATATATAATTTTTGGTTACTGTATGAACTAGTGAACTACTTATGAGAAACCTTGTTTTAAATTTTTAATCCTTAGCCATAAAAATTAAACAATTTATAATTTCTTTAACTACAAAATCCCCCACGGCCCCACCCTCTCAACACTTTTTACATAGCAAAATATTTAGCAATAAGGAACAATGAATATAATTTGAATTGATTCAAAATTCACATCAAAGTATCAAACACAATATGGAAGATTTATCCACTCCAAAGCCAATGGGGTGGTGGAACTGACCCCCACGTCACCACTTATATACAACACTGAATGCATATACGTATTGAAATAAGCTTTTTGAAATCTGATGAGAATAATTGTCTCCGATTTAGATCATTCTTATTATAATAACACGAATTATATTTTGTATATTTCAACGTTTTTACTATTAAATTCATATTTAATGTATATTTGTATAAGTTTTATAATCATATTATTATTTATAGCACATATATATGTTTTTCATCGTATTTTCACGTTCACGGCCACATAATATCGATAATATTACGATCCGTCTTTATTTCCAAAATAAGATGACATATACTCATATCCGACATATTATAATATATATACTATTAAAGTATTATGATCTAAATATAATATGATATTATGATGTATATTATGATGTATATCTATTAAAATATAAAATGTTCTTTTTTTAGAAAAAAATTTTAGCAAGCAGAGAGAGCTTATTAGATGACAATATTGTTGTATCAGACACAGATGACATAGACACCATGGCTCAGGTATTTTAAGAAATAAGTAATAATTCATATTAGCAGTGACTATAACTGATCCAACACAATTAGGTTTTGATGATCATTATATGATTTTTCTTAAATTTGAATAAAGTAAAATTTAATTGTCCCTCTAGATTCCTCAAGTTGGATCCGTTACTATGTCTTAAAAAATGTTCATATATTGAATAACTATAATTATTATTACTATGAAAGGAATATTTAGCGGATATGGGTCCAGGTGCTTTAATAGAACTTCATCAACATATGGTAAGAAGTCCACCTCCAACTACGTGGCCACGTATACCTATATTTAAATATGACGAAAAAGACCAAACCCAAGTACTTTAATACTTTTAAATTCTTATCAGTAATCAATAGAACACTTTTATTGAATCAAAATATATTTTTTATAGGATCTGTATGGAGATAGATGTAAAAGTCCACAAGGCCGGACGTTCCTCCACAGCTCATGTTCAAGTATATATTACATTTCATTATTTATTTACTTACTTATAGACATATTTGTAATGCATACCTTAAAGTATATTTATTTTTGCATTTTATTTTGTCACTTTGTGTAATGTGTATACTGTATTGGAAAAATGTTCAATATTCTTTAACATTGAACAATCACATATATTCGCATAATCGCATCATTCATATCAATCCTGACTCATGGTAAATGATAAATGAACATATTATAGGTAATATTTAACAGTTAACTATTATAAATGCATACAAGGGTTTATCAGTTTACGAGGTGCAGACATTTCAATTAATAATACATTATTTAGGAACAATCACTCAGACAACAAAAATATTCGATTTCATTTACATTTTCCATACTTAAAACTTAAAAGACAAAAGTTATATACTTATATTTTATCTAAAATGTTGGACAACGTTGGGAAAAAATAAAATATCGAGCGTTCTCAATCGTGTTACCAAAAATAACGTTCTCAATCGTATTTTACCGAAAGTTTTTGTTTAGGGTCAGTGTACCAATTGCGCTCCTTATATTATTAACTAAATATGAGTAGCGTAATTATTATTATATTATTTTGTCATTTTAAGTGCAATTGGTAAACTGCCGTCACTGCCAATCGCTGCTCTAACTATCCCAATCTAACTATTCTAACTTATAGTTTACGAAAAACCTGGTGTACAATATGTCGGATGTCGATATAACACACATTTAACTTGTAGGAATCATGAGGTATTGTCACTAATTTTCGAATTACAATAAAATCCTTTTCGGAAACTTTCCGAACGACCCGCATTATAAATATTATGTATATTGCTCTGCTCGGAATTTAAAAGAAAATTTATGATCCACTCTATACAATACATGCCATGGTGCGTGCCTATAAAATATTACCTATATTTAATAATTTTAGGTGTATCTTTATTTTCCATAGAATTGTAAATTAGAATTAGTGTTGAATATTCCCGGATGGTACATGCTATCATATAATATTATAGCATCTCCAAGACTTTTCTACTCCAGTACTCCAGCACCTGTTATTCATTGGTCTAGCTCTATCATTCAAACAAGCTTATTTTAAAAAAAGATTTTTATTCTTCTCTTTGTGACAATTTCTAAACGATACTCTTTCCCACTATAAGGTCATTCTAATTAAATCCGTTCTAAATAATTGTGTATTCTTCATATACGTTTTAATTTAACAATATATTGTTATAGAAGCCTATGGCTTCAGTCACTGGTCCACTCACATAATGTTTGTTTTATAATCTAATAGACTCTAAGTACTGTACAACCAGAGTTAAAAATATATATTTAATTTCTGTAGGTGGTTCTTCGAGCTGTATGGTTTCACCACGATATAACCATCAGTCTAGATGTCACCGATCGGCTAGTGAATCTCGAGGTAAACACGTTTAAACCTCACATGTATACTTCGATAAATGTTGTTACGATTGGAAAATCTTCCATCAATATTGGGTATTTGTGTAAAATTACGCAAAATCATTTTCGGACTGGAAATCGAGAAAAAGAAAGCACATAAGTTTACTCATTAACCCACCGTCACATTATTTTAATTAATTGACATGTATTTCCTATAAAATGATGCATATTATGAGAAAAATCAAAAGTACGTGAAAAGAGGCTTTAAATTCGTTCAATATGTACCTATGTATATGGTTTTATCTATAAAAATAAAAATTATTGATAAGTTAAATGATTATAATGTGCAATAAACAATTAAGTAAGTAGTAAATTATTATGTACCTATTACATAATATTATATTGTTCTATTGATTACGAATCAGTTTTCATATAGCCATATAGGTATTAATTATTGATCATTATTATTTTTATAAATATTTTTATCTACGTTAAATTATATTTTATACTTAGAAGTTTAATTTTTAATTTTTTTTTCCAAAACTATATTCTATATTTTGCTTGTTATATTAAAATCTATTATTTTTACAATATCATAAATTTAATATAATTGTATAGATTACAATTTTTGGAATGTATTTTTCTATAACTTATATAATAGACCATTATATTATGTATTTTGTATTTGATATAGAATCTAGTAATCTAATTTAAACAAGGCATAATATCCCGAAATTGATTATCTTCATACTCCGTAGAATTATAAATATTATAAATAATTAAAAAGACATGAATCGAACATTTAATTTACAAATAATTAATAATTATTTATCACATACTCAGGTTACGTGATTTTCACTTTATCTCATTTAAAATTTCTATTATTTTTAATGAATTTGATTATATTTTAAACATCAATTTAATGATATTTAAATCAATTTATTAATTAAAATTTGTTGAAAATTGAAAAATGCATAAATAATAATTATTAAATAACATTGTCTCTATTATCTACTTAGAGAATAATTATTGTGATGTTGCTCATATGACATTGCATAATGTAGGTATAATACTATAATGTACGAATGTACCTTATGTACCTACTACCTGTATGATGGCCATAATACATTTTGTAACTGTGTAGCTAGGTACAATTTTATTGCAAGCTGCCATTTATTAAATAAATACAATATAATTTTGCGTATTTAATGGATGTATAATTTACATTCACTTATAATATCTTAAGATTCATAACAGTATGTAAAATGCACAATGTACCTATTATATAATTATTATGTCTGATATTTTAATTAACAGCCTACAAAAAAATTAAGTATTTCTTTTCTTAACATGACTTAATTAAAACTAAAATAATTAAAATTGCTTAAATTATAATCACTTTCTAAAGAAAAACGTAAAAGTAATTTGTGCTAAATAAATGTGACATATTAAATATTTATTTTTAATGTTTAAGTATATATTTAAGTAGAATGAATTTTTTTAAATAATAATGGCCTATATATAGTTAACTTAAGCTGCATGTGAATTATTTACTACAATATTACACAAAACTAACTATTTAATACATCTTTACAAAATAATAATAGAATACCTTAATTGATTTTGTTATTAGATATTTATAGGTACCTACTAATTTAATAAATATTCACTTACTTACCTAGTCAAGATATAAATCAAGTTTAGACCTATAGTTTATTATATAGCTAAGGTAATATTTTGTTTTTTAATTTACATAATATTATAATAATATGTCATACATCGAGATCAAGCTTTTAAAACCGTAGATAGTTAACATTTTATTTGTGATTGAGAAACAAATTAATACGTTTTAGAATATTTCATTATGAAAATGATCTGATGAATTCGTTAACTTGTACCTAGATAAGTATACCTTGAAAATGTATTGTCTGTATAGACTCTATAGACTATAGATCAATTTTAGATAAAACTATAAAAGTATATAAGTTCTATATTTACTATATTATTACGATGAAGGAAAAAAGGGTTTTTATACATGTTTTTTATTTTATTTAATAATCTATATTCTATTATTTTATAATATGTTTATAGTTCAACTCGTTAATTCATTATGTGATTAGTTTAGTAAATTCACAATGGCAATTGGCAATATATTGTTAAATTCCATATAGTAATTCAATCGTTTTTTATGCATATTTCGTAATTTTTATTTTTAAGAAAATAATATAATTTATAATAAAAATGTATAAGAACCTTTTTAAGGGCTACTAAATTCTGTCCTTATTCCTATTATGAACTGATGAGTTATAAATTGTAACTATTGTTACTTAAAAATTAAAATATTAGGTAAAATTCAATTCTAATTCTTTTAATAATAAATGTATTACCACAATGTTGTCGACTCTCAACAAAAATATTTAAATGTATAATTTGTTGCATATGCTACCCCTGTGGGCATGATTATAACATGATTCACAATGTTAAAGTTATAACTTTAATTTTTTTTTTTTAGTTAAAGTATAATGTTTAGTATTAGTCGATAACATTTTATTTTATTTTCTTAATTCTAGCTATAATAATAATAATTGACTATTTGAAAGTATATACCTATTACCTACCTAATACATAATATAATTATATAGAGAAAAATATAGGTACTCCATGATATCACATGACACATTTTATCATAGGTACATATAAGGTTTTTATCTTCATAATCTGATTGAAATAAAGTACCTAAACAATATGTTTATTATTATGTATAATGCACGATAATGATTATTATCAAATATTTATTTATAATACTAAAATTTTAAGTTATAACCCATTTTGAAAGAGTTAGGTATGTTAAATATTTAATTAATAGTTTTTTGTAGGTATTATAGAATTTTAATTGTTAATTTGGCTGTTAGAAATTATATAACATTTTTTTTGGTGCTTTGTTTGTTAATTGTTTCAAAATGCTTTATTAAATTGCTGGTGCTTTTAAGTTTTTGTTCTCATTTTAGCCATGAACATGTGATTCAATTTTAATCAACAAGTTTTATTTAATAAATCATAAATGTTGTTACACAATATAATATTTAAAATGTATTAGTTATTAAACATATTTATGTTTATGTTTAGCATAATATACCTACTTATCATAATTTAAAATATTCAGTAATAATATATTAAAATTTATTTTCTCTAAATAACATTTATGGTAAAATGTTTAACTGTTATAATATGTAATAAAAACACCAATTTTAAACTATCTACTAATAATAATTGTAATATTATTTTTATTTTACCTTTATATAGTCTATATAAAATATAGTTAAAATAAAATTTTTTTTGTATGGACGTGGTTTTATGTTACCTACCATTATCTTAAATTGGTTTCCTAATGAAGTATGAATTTTATTGTATTTGTTTCAACGTCAACACATAATATTATGTACCTACCTCTTAAAAATGTTCTTATTGTGGTATTAATATATTTAGAAAATAATTTAAAAGTTATCGATTTGACGGTTTATAATTATTTGTTTTCAAAATATAGCACACCTAATTAAATTGTATTCAGTAGTTAATTTTTTCAATCCAAACGAATAAACAACAAAAATATTATATAGGTACCTATATTTTGTAATACATTTTAATACGTTATAAATTATAATATTGTCATACAGAATGTGGTTTAGAAAAAATAATGTAGGTTCTTGTATTCTTTTATCTAATATTCTAATTTCTAATGTCTTACCCATATTATAATATTATAGGTATGATAAGAACTAAGAAGTATAATAACTATGTGAATAAAAATGTTGACCTAAATTCAATTTTGTTGAAATAAACGGTTGAATATAATTTGGTTATAAATTAATACAATGATATCTGCAGACTGCAACTCTTTCTAAGTTTAAAAATCCCATCTTCCGTAATTTACATTTTATGAAAACCGATCAAAACATTTCAGAAGAATTAAAAATACGAAAGAACTATCTATTGACGATTGTTACAATAATACAATTAATTATATTAGAACTTACGCAGAGGCGTATTTATGATTTTGGAGCCCTAGGTACACACATTTTGGTGAATATTTTTTTCTCAATTATTTCCTTTGTCACATTTTCACAATAGTATATTGTGTGGCAAGAACGGGAAGTGACCTATTTCAGTTGCGGACGACGTGAGGGGTAGTCGAAGGCCGCATTTCGCCCAACACTGAAATTGCTTTCCCACACATACTATTTTTTGTCATGTCTCCGCCATAGGCGCAATTTCAATTTTTGACTTTGGGGGGTGAATATATTAAAGGTAAGCAGACCATTGTAATATAGCATTTTAAAATTGTATGTCCTAGGTTTTTTTTTTGGGGGGGGGCTACAGCTAAGTTTGGGGGACTTGGCCCCACGAGCCCCCACCAACAAATTTGCGCCTATGGTCTCCACGTCCATCGATCATGGAAAAGGTAATGCAGACATCTATGAAACAACCAGACTATAATACGAAAACAATATCATGTAAGAAACGATTTGGTTTTATTTATTTTAAGCGTCATGCATAGAGGTTATATTATATGTATGTCTATATACTCTTTATGAATATAAAATTTAATCAAAAGTTTATGTCAAGTAAAGACGGTGGTATATATTTCAGTATAAATAATAATTATTATTTATTAGATATATTAAAATAAAATAAGAATAAAAAATGTAATCACTAAGCAATTGTAATCAATAGTTATGACGGCAAAGATAATGCAGTATATGCAGGGAAATCGAGTGAATATTCAATGTTGAACATTCAGTGAAAATGTCATGTATCTATAAGGTTATTTGTTTATTACCAAAATCGATTTTGTCAAAAACCTTTTTTTCCTTAATTTTTTATTAAGGTGCTTTTGAAAATTATTGGGAATTTGTACTTCCTCAATGCACCAACTAGACTCACTTTCCCATCGGAAAAGATACTGAAATTTAAAATCAAAGCATTATTTCGACTACTTATTGTGTACAAAGACACAAAAAAAAAAAAAATAATAACTA